ATATTCTTCCTGAGAGGAGCTCTCCACCTCATTACATTTTCAGGAATGTTTAGCACCCTTTATAATTTGGCACCCTGGGAAGCTCCCCAGAAGCCCCCTCCTCAGCCTGGCTCTGTGCATTCAGATGCCTTGCAAGCAAGTGCGTCTAACAGAGTTGGGCTCTGAGGTGACAGGAAAGAGCTGAAAATGAAGAATAATATTTCCATAAGCCCATGCGGAAAAAAGCACGAAGGGCATCTCTTAAGATTCTGGTGTGCACGCCATCAGCCAGAGGGACAATGTAAGAAGATATTTAGGTATTAGGGAAGACAAATTAATGGAGGTGGCGGGGAACTCAAAAGTCAAGACTAAGGAAAAGTCTAGGTATCTCTTTCTTCAAATCAACTGAAAGCCAATGATCTCTCTTTAAAAATGTCCATTTATGAATAATAAATACTAAGAAAGGATGGAAACAAATATACATACCCAATCCCCAATCATTTCAACTACAGGTTCAATCTTGAATGATTGCCATGACTGCTTTGTGATGGAATGGCTTCCTTCCTTGTTTCCAAAGGAGAAAGGTTTAAAAATAAGTCTACTTATTGGGACTTACCGATTCCTGTAGATTTGCACAAATGAGCTTCAAGTTTCTACAGACAAAATGAACTATTGACTAAGTAGAAAAGATGTTTGGAAGGAGAAATCAGAATCCTTCCCCAAAGTAAATGTATCTCACAATAAAGAGGAAAAATAAAATATTTAGATTTAAATATCTACCTAGTTCTCTGCCCTCCTATAAGAAGACATTTTTTAGAAAATTCCAATTATTTAAACTTTTGCTTTAATTACTATAATGAAATATTTGATTTATGTGCTGTATTAATTTCTGTCTCCTTCAGAGAAAAAGGAAATCAGAGACACATCTTTACTTGTGCTGAAATACTTGAGAGAAAAGTATGATCTACTACCCCATATGAGTGTTTCAGCATTTATAGGCAATACAAACCATATATTCGACTTTAGTTTTCCAAGTGTAAAAAAAACCTCCCCCAGAAAATTTTGATAAATTCTAGTGAACTAAATGAGGAACAATTGTTAATCTTTGAAACACTATGCATTACTCATAGCGACAATAGCAGTTTACGTTTCTATGGAAATTGTTTTGACAGCATGGTAAATTTCCTTCTGTAGATAAAGAACATGACTCTATACAACATTATTGTGAGGCTGGCAGGTTTTATGTTCCTGACATGGGGTATAGGGAATGAGACATAGAAAGAGATAGTCATTACACTGAAAGAGAGTGTTGAAGAAAGGGGAGGAAAGATGGTTTGCTTGCAGGTTCCATAATCTGTAGACCAAGAAACTGACAAATTTTTCTTCTCATGAAATTGAATATTTTCTGTAATATTTATTATCTAATCCAATGGAGTATGAAATTTCAGCCTAAAATAAATATATTACCCACAAGGGGTAACTTAGCACAAAATACAGATTTTTTTTTTTTTAATGTTTGTTGCACCTAAACACTGGAGATCACTTAATTGTACATAGAAAGCTTAAGACCTAACCCAGCATCTGGGAAAAGAGGGACATAAGAAATTATGAACCACAGAGTAATAGAACTACCTCACCAATAATGACCTTTTTAAAACAATGGATTAGAATCTGCAAAGCATATTTACATATATTACCTTATTTGATATCTTCAGTTACTCCAAAGTAACCTATTTATTCGAATTTTACAGGCAGATAGACATGGCCTATACTGAATAATTAACTTGATTGAAGTTGCATGATTGGTAAGCACTCAATTCAAGACTTGAACTAGTATTCTCTGAGTTGAAGATTAGACTCTTTCCACCCCTTCATGGTTACCTTGCAATTAATGATCTCTGGGTATGCAAAAGATCGACTACTTCAAGATCAAATTCGAGCAGCCATCATGATGTAGAGTTGGTCTGAAGAATAGAGTTGATATAATTTGTCCTCAAATGCAGTGTTTCTCAAACTGTGATCCATTTGTATTAGATTTACCCAAGAAGCTTGATTAAAATGATGGAGATTGCTGGAGATTTTGTTTAGTAGGCTTGGAGCAATGCTCTGGAATAAATGTATTCAGTTCATACTCCAGATGATTCAGATAGTCCTTTGGAATCCTTGATGTAGTACAATTTTCCTGGCTATTGTTCAAACCTTTCCAGATCTAATTTTTGTTGTACTTTTGCCTGTATGAACATTCCCCTCCTATTTTTCTTCAATTTCGGAGGTCATACATGACACTATTGTAAGAGTAAAACCCTTCTGGCAACTTCCAGAGACAATATTCACTTTAATGTGAAATGTATACGTGGCAGAAAAATAAACATTGATCACAGTCCAAAATGCTACTAGTTCTCACTTTCAGATGCTTCTAGGACTTGATATTTCATTACACTTTGCTTCTAAAGGTGGGGTTTACTCTAATTACTTCCATGGTTTTCTCCTCCTTCACCAAAGGTAAAACTTGGAGCAGTAGGTAACGATGAGACTAACATGACTGTGAATCAGGTAGGCTCAATTCATTCATTAATTACCTAAGTACCTAATGATTATTAGCCATACATTTGTGAACATTTCTTAAGGAAAAAGAGGCCAAGAGTATGAGGTTACTTCAAAATACATTTGTTTATGGTGTTTTCGTGGCCTGGAAAATCTACATCCTGATGAGTTCAGCGACAATAACAATATAAATGAAAGGAGAGCGGATTTACAGAATGAATCTACCACATCCTGTATGTGTTATTTATGTATGCATGGATAAAAATCAGGGTTTTAGACTTGTCCATGTCCCTTTTCAACTTGATTTATCTGAGGGAAAAATGAGAGTTGAGATCTTCAAAGGAATAGGACGTTCCATGCAAGGCTGTGGTCTCTTCTTCTGATAAGCTGACATGCGGGGCTGGAAGCATACTTTGTGCTTTGATCTATGCTGAGACAAGCTGGGCCCAACAGTCTAGGGTTGCAACTACAGTACTTGTTGGAAGGTTGCTTTTATAAAAATTAATTTTATTTTTAGTTGATAAATAACAATTGTATATATTTATGGAGTACAATGTGGTGTTTTGATACACATATACATTGTGGAATGAGTAAACCAAGCTAATTGGTATATCCATCACCTCAAATATTTATCATTTCTTTGTGGTGAGAACATTTGAAATCCTCTCTTTTAGCTGTTTTGAAATATACATTATTTTTAAGTATAGTCATTATGCTGTGTCATTGCACAGCATGGCGACTATAGGAAGGTGGCTTTTAAAAGACCAATCAGTAAACGAAATCAGAGATTTTTCTTGATCTAATTGGGCCCCAGTTTCCTTATCTGTTAATTGGGAGTTAGAAGTGGTGGTTTCTAAAGAAGACTACGTCTAATATTCTATGGTGTTACATTAGTTTGTTTTCACTTATTCCACAAATATTTTTTGATTACCTACTGTGAGCTAAGGACCAGGATATAGCTGTAAAAAATATAAATATTGTCTCCGCCCTTCCGAATCTTACATTGTAGGGATGTGGCAGGGAGGAAACAGACACAGATATTAAAGGACTCATTACATTCATAATTTATTATAATTGTGATGCGTGCACTGAAGGGGAAATAGAGGCAGGCTGCTGTGACCTGGTTCAGTAGAGAGTCATCAGGGAAGGTTTCCCTGAGGAGGTAACATTATAGACCTGGATGACTAATGGGAATCAGGCTGAAGAAAAGATGGACCAAGAAGATTCCTGGCAAAGGCCATGAGGTGGGATAGAGCCTGGCACAACTGAGGAGAAGAAAAATGAATTCTGTAACTGAAGAGAAGGGGAGGGGCGGCATGGCCTGGGAGAAACTGGCAGTGACCATCTTATGCAGGGCCATGAGCAGGAATTTATATTTTATTCTCAAGACAATGGGAAGCCACGGAGGGTTTTACAGATCACTCTGGGGATGGACAGATAGATCAATAATGGTAAACAAGTACAGTCAAATGCGAATGACAGCGCTGAATTTGGGTGGTGGATATGAGAGTGTTCACTATAAAGTTCTTTCAACTTTTCTGTATATTTGAACACTTTAAAATAACATGCTGAGACAAATCACTCTGGTCACAGTAAGAGGAATGGATTGAGGGAGGACAAAATTGGTGGCATAGATGGCAGTTAGGAGACTGCTGCAATAATCTTGGAGACGGGTGGTGGTGGCTTGGACTAAGGTGGTGCCATGCAGACAGTGAGAACTGGACAGGAAAGAGGAAGACTTAACTTTTCACGATTTTGAACTATTTGAATTCTGTGCCATTCACATGCATTACCTATATTTAAAAATACTATGTGTAGTTCTAGCCCATACTTTTGCCTTTTATTTCCAAGAGCAACATCAATAGGTTTCTGATAGATTTTTGCATACTTGAGTTTTGCATTATGGGAATACCTAGTTAGATGTTGGATTTTATGAAATCATGATACAGAGAGTTGCTCTATGTGTGGCAAAGATCTGAACACGTAAAGTTCATGCTCTTCTTGAGTTCAAGTTATAAATTTTAAGATTTATTATTTTTCATATTTATTATTATTATTATTTTTATTTTTTGAGATGGAGTCTCGCTCTGTCACCCAGGCTGGAGTGCAGTGGCGCGATCTGGGCTCACTGCAAGCTCCGCCTCCCGGGTTCACACCATTCTCCTGCCTCAGCTTCCCGAGTAGCTGGGACTACAGGCGCTTGCCACCTCGCTCGGCTAGTTTTTTTTTTTTTTTTAGTAGATACGGGGTTTCACCGTGTTAGCCAGGATCGTCTCGATCTCCTGACCTCGTGATCCGCCCGTCTCGGCCTCCCAAAGTGCTGGGATTACAGGCTTGAGCCACTGCGCCCAGCCTTCATATTTATTATTAATGAATAAATCCACTTTGTTGTGTCTATTCCAGATATGCTTCCAGATTTCACCATCACCACCCTCTTACCTCCCCTAAAAATGTAATTGAAGACAGAATGAGTCACATCAAGTCTGAAGACATTTTATTTTTCCTATGTGGGAAGCAATGATGATCTTACACTTTTTGTTTTCTGTTTTTAAGAAGGGCAGCACAGGGATATGTGCAGTTTTTTCTTTTAAGTACCTTGCTAAGCGACACTAGACTAATAACCATTTTCTAGAATTAGGTGACCTATTTCTGAATAAAATTGAAATCGGATTGCTTATTCCCTTACTAATAATAATACTAAATATATTCTTAAATCAGTTTTCAAAATTCAAGAGGAAATCTAGAAATATGGAACAACTAGCAGAAATAAGCCTGAAGCTGATTCTAGCTCTGTTACTACTAAAACTCAGTTTCTAAACTTTCGAGGATTTTATATGAATTCATATGAAAAAAATGAGCTCAGAGGCTAGAATATGACTCCAGAACATACCTTGGTCAGGTATGTTCATGCTCAAGTAATTGGACTCTGCTCCAAATTTCTTGACATATGCCCTCTTATCCACCTTAAAAAGCATAGCATTATGCCAAGGACTGCAGTGAAAAAAGAACACTGGCCTAAGATCGATAGCCTGGATTTAAGTCCAGATTTAGTCACAGCCTCTATATGGCCTTGGGCAAGTTATCTCAGCTCTCTGAAATTCACGTTTGGAATCTGCAAAATGAGGAACTGGGCCTGAGGTTCCTTCTAGCTTTAACTTTCTTTGCATCTAAGTTTCGTGGCTCAAGCATCTGGAATTCCAAGTGAGAGAAGATATGGTAGATTGAACTGTTGGCCCCAATTCTTCATCCCTTCCTGCATCCTCACTCTGGTCATGGCTTCATTGTGGGAAGTGTATATTTCCCTGCCTCTTCATCTTGGCCATCTGACTTCCTTTGACCAATGAGATATCAGTAGACATGACACAACCAGGGGCTGAAAATGTACCCGAGCAGTGGGGCTCATCCTATTGCACTTCTGCCATCCAGATGCTCTGGCTATCCCTTGGGCTCAAAGAGGATGAGGCATAAGAAGCCAACCTAGAACCTCAGGCCTGTAGCAGGAAGCAGAGGTGCCATAGCCAGTCTTCAGAACTATGAGAAAAAGGATTGTCATTTTAAGCCACTGACATTTGGTGTGTTTTTTTTCATTTAGCATTATTGTGACAATAGTTAACCACTGCAAAAGGAGATAAGAAAAACTCAGCGAAGGAGAAAACAAGGGGGCAGAGAGCAGATGGAGTCTTTGATTCTCTCCCATAACAGGGCAGAAGAGAAACAGAAGTAAAATAGCAGGTAGAGTACCTCCTTTTTCATTAAACTAGTCTCATTAGTGAACACAATGTGAAAAGGTACATCAATTGACCATTATTTCTCATTCCCTTTTAGTTAATGGCTTAGAGCATTTTATAAAATAAATGTTTACAACAGAGCTCTCTTAGGTCATCAGTAAGGTGACCCTACATCCCAATTTTCCCAGGTCAATTCTAATCAACATCAATTGTTCTGATGTAGTTATTTAGCTCTCTTTGTTCTCAAAAATAAACTGATTTAGATGATAAATTCTATAGTAATCATAGAAAGCCCTGTCAGTCCATCTTGAAATACTACTTGGTTAAACCACAAGTTTGCTGCAATAACAGGACAATCCCCTTGCTCAAGCAACCATCCCCACAATGCCTTCTTGAGAGCATGTGGATTCCTAGGGTGAGCAACAGTTGGCCAGTATCATTTCTTCTAACTTTTCAAGTAATCTACCTTCTCAGTGGTCCCCTTTCTCTTCAGAGGATTTGAGGAAATCTAAAGTAACTTATAATTAGCAAATGGAGGACCCCAATCTCAATTGTAGTTTCAAATGAGCTTGTGCCATTTCTTTTATGGTATAAACCCTATAAACCTTTGCACAATTTGCTCGTTGACAGGACAGAGTAGTGCACTTTCTATCATCCAATCAAGAAGCCCCGATTGGAAGAAAATATATGTTTTTTAGGCACTCAACAAGACCCTAAATGTTCATACTACTGACGTCTCTCCCTTCATGTCCCAATACTGTCAGATGAGAAATGGCAGGGAAGCAGAATCCCAGGTCTCAGTTTGCTACTGGTAGGAAAAGACAGCCAGATAGGCCCCGGTGGCCTCATTCTTGGAGAACTGGTCCCTCTAGAGTCTACACTTTCCCATGCTGGAACGAAGCATGAGTACACCCTCAAAAGGAGTTCCAGGGTTGTTGGCCATCTTCTGCCAAAGGCGCTGCTCTTCCCCCTGAGAGTCCATCCAATCCACGTTCTTCCCATGGCTCACACCTGAAGAAACGAAATGGGAACATTATATGTCACACATGAAATGTTTTTCTCTCCTGCAAGGCATCTATCAACTTCTGAGGGGGCCTTTTGACCAGAGTACCTTTTACTGGCTCGTTCTCACTTAGTATATATAGTGAGTGGTGTTAGAATTGAATCAATCATTTGCAGCCTGCACTATTCTCTAATGCCTAGGCCATATGAGGCAAATCAGGGTGGCCCTGGTGACTCACTTCCTCCCTACTTTAGCAGAGAGCTGGTTCATCTGGACTGTGTTAACATGACAAAAGAACGGGATGAATTTGGCTCTTTTTCTAACAAGGACACTTTTCTGACCTGGGGAGTTTTCCTTTTAGTGGTATAGATATTCTTGGCTCCCCTTAATCTATAAATAAGTAATTATCATAGTGATAGGACCTTCCTCAACAGAAATATTTACCATGGTGTATGCAGATGGTCTCATCTATGTCTGGCTTAGGCTATGGGATAATGAGAGTTAGGGGGACTGCACGTGTTCTACTACTGTAATCCCTCTTCCAATTCACCCTGTTACAGATGTGTCTTGTGGCACCAGTGGTGGGTTTCTTTGATCTGTTTTTAACAACATTGGTGTTATTTTTATGAAAAAATGATTTCCTTTCAATTCAACCAGTATGAATAATAGCTGCAAGTGCTGGACAGAACTGAGAAGATGATGAAGGAATGTTAGTCTTGAAAGTTGCTCTCCTCCTATCAGAAGGCTGTGCTGTCTTGGTAATCATGTTCTGAGCAAAATCTGAAGCAAGGTCCAAGAAAGTACTTAAAATTCACTTAGACTAAAGTGTAAATGTTAGTCTACGAAAGGACTGAATGTAAACATTATATCTTCCAATCTTCTAGCCTAAAGATACAAAGGTACTGTAGTTATATTTGTATTTTAACAATGAATAGATCCTTAGCTAAAGGAATGAAGCATTTGTAGTAATTTCAGGATTTAGCTGAAACTACATATGTATATCCACTGCACATCACACCTGCAAGAATAGTGCCCCCAAAGGGGCCCAGTCACAGACCATCCCTGTGGGTCCCCAAATCCCTCACCACTTCCAGAATTCAAACGAACTCCTCCCAGAAAAATGTTGCTGGAAAAGGCCTCCTTGTCCCAGATGGTAAGTTCTAGGCAAACATTCTTTATATCCTGGGGATGGATGCCACTGAACATGAATGTATGATTCCACTGAGGGTTAACACTCTTTTTTATTACCAGAGTTTTGTGCTTGGTGGCTTTGCTATCATCAGGGAGCAGGTAGCTGCAGGAGGAAAAACAATCAAACCATCAGTAAGACAGCAGACAGAAAATGTCAATGTGCACGCAAGTGTGGTGTGTCTATCTGATTTTTCTTCCCAGGATTCTATATGCTTAAATCTGGATTTATATAGTGGAATGACTTTAATGCCCTCATTCTCCTTTCTAATCCTATTTTCGTCCTTCCTTCCATCTTGAAAAGAAAATACCTCCTGCAATAGACACTATTGTATGCCCTGCTTCACATCTTTTTGGCCCTCCTTGGAGCTGACTTGCAGCAGGATGGGAAGTTCCTGATATGCTTTCAGCTTCCTACCTCAAGTGCTTGTGTCTTTTGACACAAGGAATAAATTCCTCTAATTAAGGAATTTATCTGATATTGTGTTAGCTGGCTCAGCTTATGTGCAGGAAACTCTGGGATTACTTGGAATTTAATGCCCCTGGGGCAACCTTTAACTGATGAGTTTGAGAAATTGGTGGATAATTCCCCAGCTTCCCTGTCCCTCGAAGTGACAATCCTAAGGTATATTCCACAGAGTTCCTCACTGCTTCCCCAATGGAATCAAGTTGCAGTTGCCCACAGTAGTAACCTGCCCATTAATATATGTTTTAATCAACTTCTCTTTCTTCCTTGTCTCATTTTCTCCACTTCCTCACTGGCGTTTCCTGAAATCTCTTCAAATAAAACACCTGTATCCTAGGTTTTCTCGACTATGGTCAAAACACTGTATGAGGCTCTAGGTATGTGATAAAAATGGCTGTTTTCCCCCTTCAGGGAACATACTTTAGAAAAGAAGACATACGTACATATGGAATTAGTACATGGAACAAAAATGAAAAGTGCTACAAACAAATGACTTTACAATAAAGAAGATACATTCAGTCACTTAAGATTTCATTTTATGTCCCAAGCAGAGACTGATTATCTCCTAATATCCATTCTCTCCTTACATTCCTCTAAAAAACTCTGTGTTTTTATTTGAGCACAGTGTTGCCCAGAATAAAGATTACATTCCCCAGCCTCCCTTGCAGCTAGAATAGCCATGTGACTGATGTTTTTATTTGAGCACAGTGTTGCCTAGAATAAAGATTACATTCCCCAGCCTCCCTTGCAGCTAGAATAGCCATGTGACTGAGTTCTACTATCGAGATATAAGAAGTAGTGCTTATAAAAACTACTTACGTCTGAAAAGTGTGTCCTGTCAGCTGGAATTTGTGGGATAGTTGAAACATGATCCTCAGCTATCCTAACCCATTAGGTGGATACCAATGAGATGGAAAAATTTGATCCCTGATAATCATGATGCTTCCATACCTGCCCTGAGACCTTACCTTCAGTCCTTGTTTACATGTAAGTAGAGAAAAAAAATACTTGTCTTATTTAAGCTTTCACTGTTCTTTGGCTCACAGCCAGACATATTGTTAATGGATATATTTTATATCATTACACTTTTACAGTAGAGGGTCTATTCTTGATCCCTCACTGTCTTTAAAAAAAAATCTCATTTCTTTTTAGAATCAGCCTAATGTTTAAGTATTATTATAGACAGAATTTACCAGAAAGTTACTGGCTTTTGTTTTTCTTTCTAGAACAAAAATAGTCTTTTATTATGCTTTTGCTTTATAAATTCCTCCACAAGATAAAATGAATACTGCTCCAGAAGATGTCAAGTAGCACTGCAAGGTCACAATGTGACCACGGGTTGGGAGCTATCCCCTCATTCCACCAGACAGTGAGTACAGGCTTAAACTGGATGGTAGGGTATTAATGACACAAATTGTAAACTGCAATATCCAAAGAAAGCATTTCTTCTAAGTGCTCAAATCTACTGCAAGAAAGAGTGAGGGGTGATGTGCCAAGATTCAGGCACACACACTTACCAATGGGAGGCCCCAGAACTGCTTCCTCCCACTACTGGCTTTACCAAAGTTAGAACATGGGCCAGGGCACGGTGGCTCATGTGCCTGTAATCCCAGCACTTTGGGAGGCTGAGGCAGGCAGATTACTTGAGAGGTCAGGAGTTGAGGTAATTCAGTCTGGCCAATGGTGAAACCCCGCCTCTACTAAAAATACAAAAAAAATAAATAAAAATAGCTGGGCATGGTGCCACACCTGTAATCCCAGCTACTTAGAGGCTGAGACATGAATCACTTGACCTGGGAAGCAGAGGTTGCAGTGAGCTGAGATGGTGCTACTGGGTACCAGCCCATGACAGAGCAAAACTCTGTCTCAAAACAAAAAACAAAAAATAAAAATAATAAAAAAAAAAAAAACAGCAAAAAGGAAAAGAACATGTGAGAGTGAGCTCAAACCATTTCCCTTTCTTGTAGGAAAAATACATTTTTCTAATACAGCATGAGAAGAGGAACAATATTGCCATCTGACTCAAAGAATGAACCTCATGGTCTGGCATCATGGAATTTGTTTTAATTATGTGCTTTATGGAGTTCCATGAAGGCAGGGATAATATGTTATTTATTTTGAGCATAGCACCTGGTGCTTGGCAATGCATTTTTTTGTGTGTGTTTGAATGAATGAAAATAACCTTGCAGTCTTAGTTCCTCAATTCTGCAAGATAAAAATATCCAATAGTCAGAAATCAAAAGGGATTTGATGCTTGAGTTGCTCAGAGTTGGGCAAGAGTATCTATTTTATGTGGGCTGCATTCTTCAAGAAGCTGCCCTTTGCTCCACAATCCCTGGGCACAAATGTCTAGCAGGTGTCTTGAGCTCTCCAAAGCACTCGACACAGTGGATAAGTCCAGCAAGGATGCTCTGACATTCTACTTTTAAGTAATTTCAAGAGAAAAAAATATCAAGGATCTGATATTTTGGTTATCGTTGCACATTGCCAGTACAAAATGTTATCATAATGAAACAAAATACATTACACCTAGAAAATCATATTTTTCCACTTTTTCAACAAATGAATCTTATAGAAAAAAGTTGACTGTCTTGAGAGTAAGAGTGATGGGAATTCCTAAATACGCAAGGGAAACGGAGTGACTGCTAGAATCAGCAGTTCCCTAACATTTGTGTTGTTTTAGATTTAAGAGCCAGCATTTAAGTGGCAGTTCTCACCCATACACTTCTAGTAAACAGAACACGGAAGGCCTGGCCACAGCCACCACTGGCTTGTGGATCACAGATCCTTTCATCTCTTATTAAGTATCATCCAGAAAGAGCTAAAACAAAGTTACCCTTCACAGCTATCAGAAGTGCCTCCCTGACTTCACTTCCTCTCGCTGTCAAATTCCTTTTTTGCCTTTGATGAACACTTCTAGTATTCCCCTCCAGAGATTACAGGTGACACTCCTTCTTTCCCTTTAAAAGTCTTATTTCCTGTGTCAGCCACCAAAATGAAGGAATGGTGGGGAGAGAGAAAAAAATAGATAAATCATGGGTTCTACTTCAAAATTTACAAAGATCATATACAAAGATATATTTCATTTGCTGACTGAATTGGGCCTTTACATTATTGTATATTTTTATTCATTTAACCATTTTGCTCCCCATTGATTTCTTCCAGATAGGCCTTCATTTGTGTTTGTTGAAACAAATGAACAAATAAATCTAAAACTTTAAACACTCCCTTACAAAGCATATTTTTCATTAGGTATAAAGGCATGGAATGCCTAAGAGCTCCGAGCACCCATTCCTTTGCTCTTAGTGAGAAATAATTATGATGCAAGGCAATATACACACACCACATACCTGAAAGAGAGAAAATTCCATAACTCCCTTTGATAGTTAGTCTTACAAATAGTCAGTTTTAGTCAGAGCTCAGCTCTAGAGACTACAGCCCAAGCAGTTACATTTTAGGGTGAGAGAAATCTCTTTTCCACCTCGCTTTTCTATTCTATGAAATACGTTCAGCATGAATGATATAAACCCGTACCACAACCAGCATGTTTATTTAGCACCGCGGTTTTTAAGCACTTTACGTATATGAACCTATTTATTCTTCACAACAACCCTTTGAAGTGTGAGGAATTGAGGTCAGGAGATAGTGAGTTACTTGCACAAGCTCACACTGAAAAGAGTTATAGTGAATGGGAGGACAGAGGAACCTGCCTGCAAGAGTTGATGGTAAAAGAAGGGCAAGACAGGTTTGGATGCGTATCCTCACCCAAACTTACAAGTTGAAATGTAATCCCCACTATCGGAGGTGGGGCCTGGTGAGGTAGATTGATCATGGAGTGATTTCTCATGAGTGGTTTTGCACCTGTCCCCTTGGTGCTGTCCTCACGATAGTGAAAGAATTCCTGTAAGATCTGGTTATTTAAAAGTATGTGCCACCTCTCTCTTTCTTCTCTTTGTTCCTGCTTCTGTCATGTGAGACTCCCCTGCTCTACCTCTTCACCTTCTGCCATAATTGTAAGCTTCCTGAGGCCTCCCCAGACATCTGCCTGCTGTATGCTTCCTAAGGCCTGCAGAACCATCAGCAAATTAAACTCTTTTATTTATACATTACCTAGTCTCTGAGTATTTCTATAGCATAAATGCAATAACAGCTTAATACAAAGGGGAAGAGAGATTTATAAATTGACTCCATCTGATTTTTTCCTTTAAATCCTGTGTTCTAGAACAACTTCTTCATCAAGACTCCTGAATAGTTGTGGAATGTCATAAATCCATGGAGCAGTTTCTTATGCTTGCCTCCCAGCAGCCTGCCTTCCCCCAGCCTGGGAAATCCTATATCTTGGGACTAACAGAAAAACAAATCTGACCACCAAGGCTGGTTTCTAAGTATGAATTTTGTCCTTTCCCTTGTAAGAACTCATGCCTTTCTCCATATATGTGCATACACATCTCAATCCTCTCAAAAAGACAGCATACTCTAACCCTTTATGTTTTGTTTGTTTGTGTAATATGAAAGACATAGAATGCAACCAATCCCTGATTCCCACTACCACACTTCTAGAAACAGAATGTCATTGATCAAAGTCACTGATTTTTACTCTACCTTGGAGTTGTTCTGGTGGAAGCATAAAAAATTCCTCTTCCGGGGAATGTAACGCAAAACAACTGTCAGCTCTCCTTTGTATTGAAGGCCAATATCAGGAGCAAAACCCACCTGCCAGGAGAAACAAGTAAATTGAAAGAGTATGAATGATTTGCTTAGTATTGTAGTCCACATTTGAATGTGCAATATTTACTTGCTGGCATATAAATGTGACACCATTCCCATTTAACTCTGTGGGGCTTCCTAGTTGGCTTGGTGAGATGCCTTAGGTAAGAGAAAAGAAAGGCTGGAAAACTCTATGAAGGCATTTGCATATAACCTTTAACATTTAAGTAAAAGGAATTTGAAAGAAGACATTAACTTATATTTGGCCAGTCAACAGATATTGAGCACCTGTGATGCATTGATGACTGGACCTATCACTGAGTTTACATATATAGTTTGGGATGTGAAGAAGCAGGAATAAAAATGCCACTGAAAGTACCTCCAGAAATTACTTTTCCAGGTCATCTTTGATGCCTTTTAAGGCTTTCCCAAGTGATCAAGATGGGAAAAGTAGGCAATAATGCTTGATTCACATGGGGCTGCCAGTCATCAACTGTTAAAAGCAATATTCGTAATTCATATAATCAAAATTCAACATGGAGAAAGTGGTTCACTCAAACATTGTTGGTGGGAATGTAAAATGGTGGAGTCACTCTGGAAAACAGTTTGGCAGCTGCTCAAAAGACTAAACATGCAGCTACCATCTAACCAGAAATTGCACTCTTGGTCATTTATCCCAGAGAAATGAAAAAGTTATATCCACACAAAACTTGTATACTAATATTTGTATCAGCTCTATTTGTAATAGTAAAAAACTGGAAACCACATGGATTTCCTTCCATAGTCAAACAAACTGTGGTGCATCCATACCGTGGAATACTATTCATTAACAAAAATAGAATACACTATTGATAAATGCAACAAGTTGAATCTCTAGAGGATTATACTGAGTGAAAAAAAGCCAGTCTTAAAATGACATATATTTTATGACTTCATTTATGTAAGTAACATTCTTGAAATGACAAAATTATAGAGATGGAGAACAGATTAGTGGTTGCTAGAAGTTAGGGATGTGAGTAATGGGAGGGAGTTAGATGTGGTTATAAAAGGTCAACCTGAGGGACACATGTGGTATTAGAACTGTTCTGTACCTTGACTGTGGTAGTAGATACACAAACCTATAAAGGTGATAAAATTGCATAGAACTAAATACACACACACATGCATACACACACACACACAAATGAGTACAAAACTGGGAATTCTGAATAAAATTGGTGGATCATATCAATGTCAATATCTTGGTTGTGGCTGGGTGCAGTGGCTCATGCCTGTAATCCCAGCACTTTGGGAGGCCTAGGTGGGAGGATTGCTTGAGCCCAGGAGTTTGAGAGCAGCCTGGGCAACACAGTGAGACCCCAAGTAGCTGGGCATGGTGGCATGCACCTGTAGTCCCAGCTACTTGGGAGGCTGAGGTGGGAGGATAGCTTGAGCTCAGAAATTTGAGATTATAATGAGCTATGATTTTGACACTGTACTCCAGACACTGTACTCCAGCCTGATGCCAGAGTGAGGCTCCCACCTTTAAAAATTAAGCAAAACCTGGTTTGATATTACAGTAAAGCTTTGCTATAGGTTACCATTGGGGAAAATCAAGTAATGAGTACATGGGATCTCTCTGTATTATTTCTTATAACTGCATGTACATTTACAATCACTCAAAATATAAAGTTCAAACTAAAGAAAATCAATGCGGCCGGCGCGGTGGCTCACACCTGTAATCCCAGCACTTTGGGAGGCCGAGGCGGGCGGATCACAAGGTCAGAGATCGCACCACGGTGAAACCCCTCTCTACTAAAAATACAAAAACTAGCTGGCGAGGTGGCGGGCGCCTGTAGTCCTGTGCCACTCGGGAGGCTGAGGCAGGAGAATGGCGTGAACCCGGGAGGCGTGGAGCTTGCAGTGAGCCGAGATCCGCCACTGCACTCCAGCCTGGGCGACAGGAGCGAGACTCCGTCTCAAAAAAAAAAAAAAAAAAAAAAAGAAAATCAATGTGCACATGCACCCAGAACCTCTGTTCTATAGGTCTCCCACTTGCCATTGAGTCAACTGAACTTTGAGTTCTTTCATTATATAGAGCAGGAAAGGAAACTTTGTCAAGGTTTTCCTTAGATCTGACTTCTGAGTCAAGAGCAGAGAACTGCTCTCTCAGAGAGGGCAGAATGAGAGTTCAGAAACCTAGCCCACTCATAGCTAAGCCAGAGACTGTTCAAGACTGGCACAAATAAACAAATAAATAGTAAAAAAAAAAAGTAAAAATACTGATACCATTAAAAAGAAAAGGAATCCTGCCTGACTTTCCCTTTTCTTTCCTGCTGGTGATAGTAAACCTTACTAGTAAGGGTGGGAAAAATGCTTGAAATATTTTATTCAACCTTTTACTCGGGGCAAAAATGAGAATATATAGTGTAAAATAGACTATCCATCTAATATTTAATCTGATTATTTTAGATCAAGTTCTCAACTGGACTTCTTTTGTTTTGACAATCTCAAAATTTTAGTTTATAGGTGGAATATCATAAGTAGAAAATAATAATGGATGTTATGACAGATTAAAGACGGTTACCACTTTTTTGGTACTGTCATCAATGAGAGATGGGGCATTTGTGACTCTCTCCTTGGGTCTGAGTGGGCTCTGTGATTGCTTTGACTAGTATTACAGAATATGGCAGAAGTGACAATGTGCCAGTTTTGGGGTCCAGGTCTTAAGATTGACAGCTTCTACTTTCTTTCTTGGAATGGATATTTCTGAATGCTTCCTCTGGGAACCCATGCTAAGAGAGGCCCAAGCCACAGAGACAAGCCGCACGTAGGTGCTCCAGCTGGCAGGCCTAGCTGAGTTTCCAGCCAGCAGTCAACATCATGTGTAAGACATGGAAGTGAGAGTCAATCTGAACAATCAGCAGTTGAGATTGATGACATCAGCCTCAGTCAACCACTCCGGCTGCAGTGGCACGAAAACCTAAGTGAGGAACTACCTAGATGAGCCTAGTTAACCTACAGAATCATGAGAGAGAATAAATCTCTGCTGTAAGCCACGAAGGTTTAAGGTAGTTCGGTATACAGCAATAGTTAACCAGAGCAGGCTGTGTTTGCTTTTTGAGTGAGATCTTCGGGTAGGAAAAAGTGATATGTGTAGGAATCACATACTAATATACAATGTGCTATTAGAGATAAAAAACATGCATTATTGGATTTACTAACATCTCCATTGCTCTTTAGCTTAAAATATACTGGGTTGACTCCTGTATAAATATAGACCTCAAGTCTTATGAAAGAGAACACAATGATGATGAAGCTTGTAGCATTATAATCATTATTAAGGCAAAAATTAAAGTGGAGAGTCATATTGCAGTCTGCACATGTCTAATGTCTTACGATATTTTTGATACTTATACTTTGCCAGGAAATTCCTAAGCAACACCCTCTCCTGGCATAACACCATTGTCATTATCCAACCAACCAACTATTACTCAGAAAAAGTTAGCAGAATCCAATCATATTCAATTCAACTCTACCAACACATATGGAATGCTTACATTTTTATAAGGCACTATGCTAAGTGCTGTGGGGACACATAAGACAGACCCTGCTTTCAATGAGTTTTCAGTCTATCTAGTAGACATATTTGCAGTAGCAGGATCTATTAATTCACACTTAGTTAACTGACTCATCGGTTTAATTAGTGTTCTTCATCTCAGTGAATAGCAGAATCCTTCCTGTAAAGAACATGCATCTGCTCCCATCAGTTGAATTGTATGCACACTGGAGAGTCAGCTGTTAGTTGGGGTCCCCCAAGCTCTTTAGGCCAGGCATATTTATGGATTGTAATTATATAGTTTAATGTCACATAAATTGATGGAGTGCAAAAAGACAGCTGCTACTATAACAATTCTGTTGAATAATTTTTAGAAGAACTAAAGGTTTGAAAACAAAGTTGCTGTTGGATTATATGTGGGCTTGAATCTATGAAAGGTTAGAAAAAATCATAAATTTTTGAGAAGAATTTGCATTTGGTTTACTTCGAAAGTATTCTTATGTTCTTGTTTCATTCGAGAAAAACTCAAATTAGAATCTGCTGATGATGATGCATTAGGAGGAGAATTTATGCAAGGAATATATGGCAGAATTTTACTTACTGAATGAAATTCAAACAAAATTAATTGTCTCTATATCAGAAGACTTTAAATGAATGTACATTTATTTGGTTTAAGTTAAAAATAAATGTTTAAGAAATGCATTGGGAAGCTATAGTAATCAAAACAGCATGGTACTGGCATAAGAACAGATACATAACACCAATGGAACAGAATAGAGAGTCCAGAAATAAATTTATGGTCAATTGATTATCAAATAAAAAAGTGCCAAAATACACAATGGGGAAAGGACAGTCTTTAGTAAACAGTGTTGGGACAACTGAACATCCACATGCAGAAGAGTGAAATTGGACCCTTATCTCACACCATATACAAAATCAACTCCAAAGTGGATTAAAGACTTAAGCATGAGACCTGAAACTGTAAAACCACTAGGAAAAACATAGGGGAAAAGCTCCATAACATAGGTCTGGGAAATTTTTTTTATATGACCCTAAAAGCACAAGAAACAAAAGCAAAAATAGGCAAATAGGACTGCCTCAAACTGAACTTCTGCAGAGCAAAGAAAACAATCAACAGAGTGAAGAGACAATCTGCAGAATGAGAGAAAATAGTTGTAAAATCATACATCTGATATAGTTTAAGTTAAATAATTTAATATCCAAAATACATAAAGAACTCAAGCAATTCAATAGTAAGAAAACAAATAATCCAGTTAAATAATGGGCAAAGGATCTTAATAGACATCTCTCAAAGAAGACATACAACCATGCCAACAGGTGTATGACAAAATGCTCAACATCGCTAATCACCAGGGAAATGCAAATTAAAATAGCAATGAGTCATTATCTTATACCCGTTAGAATGGCTACTTTATGAAAAGACGCGACAGTGAGTGTTATAGAACTACCGATATATGATCTGGTATAAATCCCACTGCAGGGTATATAGCCAACAAATGAAATAAGTATCTTAAAGAGATCTCTGCACTTCCATGCTCATTGCAGCATGATTCACAATAGCCAACATATAGAAACAACCTAATTGTCTATCAATGGATGAAGTGATAAAGAAAATATGGTATATATACACAATGAAATACTATTCAGCCTTAAAAAATAAAATCTTGTCATTTGCATTTGCAACAACATGGATAAATCTGGAGGACATTATGTTAATTAAAATAAGCCAGGCACAGAAAGATGAACACTGCATGATCTCACTTATATCTAAAATAGATATAACCCAAAATAGTGGAATCTAAAATAGTTGAATTAATAGAAGCAGAGAGTAGAGTGGTGGTTATCAGGGGCTGGGGGTGGAGAGAACTGGGGGAGATGTTGGCCAAACAAAATAAAATGTCAGCTAGATAGGAGGAATAAATTTGAGGAATCTCTTTTACAACATGGTACTATAGTTATTAATAACAACAATGCTTTGTATTCTTGAAAATTGCTAAGAGAGCAAATTTTATGTGTTCTGACCAGAAAAAAGTATGCTATGTGAAGTAATGTATATGTTAACTAGATTGATATAGCCATTCCATAATATATGTATATTTAAAACCACATTTTACATGATAACTATATACAATTTTATGTGTTAGTTCAAAATAATTAAAAATAAAAGAAATGCATTGAGTGTGTGTGTTTTAAAGTGTGGGTGATTTCGTGATATTGTCTATTAACTGACCTACTATTGGTGGTAATTTCTAGGGAAGAGGGTTTCACTATACAGAAAGTTCAATGTAAGATGTTTCTACTATACAGAAAGTTCAATGGTGACAGTTATTCCAACACAAGTAAAAAGAAACTATTATGGGAAGAGAGAGATTAATCCAGACTGGGAAAAACAGGTGGCTCTTGCCTGGTCCTTAAAGGATGGGAGACATGATGACAGATGAAGATGGATTGGGAAGGTTAGTCCACGTTGAGAAAGCAGTATGAGCAAAATATGATGGGGGTTGTGTAGAATATGTTTAGGGACTGACAGAAAGTCAAATGTGATCAGGGGAGTGTGTACAGGGAGGTAGTAGCAAGGAGGATGGAAATAAGGTGTCAACTCGGGGTTTCCCAGAAGATGCTAAGACACTAATTTAAGTTATAGTATTTTATTAGGAAGGGTAATTGGGGAAGGGACTGAAAGTGGATGAGGTTTAAGGGATGTGATTTTGCATGGAAAGTTCCATGGAGAGTAACTTTTGTTAATCTCATGGGGTACTCTGGAGATGGAAAGATCACGCTTCAGAGCTGTTCTAATTTCAGAGGCAGCGGGAGATTGATGCTCCTTAATCCACCACTCATTGATCAAGAATCTGCTCACCCCCAGGAGACTTAAATACCCAGGCTATGTTGGCTTTTCTGGCCTGCAACCAAGCCTCTCCAGCAGCCTGAGGGCTCCTCCTACAATGATTGGCAGGGGTTGGCTGGTGGGAGTGAAAGCAATGAGGAGCCCTGTTTGCAGGAAAATGGGGAGGGGTAGAGAACTAACATCTTTGTTGCCACAGTAGGCTGGGCTATCTAACAGAACACTGAGTGCCAGGTGAGGGTTAATATTCATTCAAGCCATATCCAAAAGCAGTAGGGAACCACTGAGACTACCTGAGCAGGGATGTGAAATAAGCAGATGACACCCACCACCTTCTGCTTTCTGAAAAAGAGAGGTCCGTCTCCGTCGGAGCAAGGAAGAGACTCCCAGTGCATTTACACGTGTAACATGGAGTAAGGAATTACAGACAAAAGTCTGCCAAAAAAGAGAGAGAGCCTTTAATCTAGGTATAATTCCTAAGGAACATACATTTACTATCTGCCTGAAGGCAGAATAAGAGAATGTTTCCTGAAACCACTTAAGCTTGCTGTTGATTTTCAGATGTCCCATAGCACACTTTGGGAAGGCTTGAAAGGCAATTCATACTGATAAAACCTTCTTGTCTAACTACCTGACATGCCTTTCAGAAGGATAATGATTTACAGCTAATAAATAATCCCACACCATGAAGTAAAATGGAAGTTATACTGTGAAACTACAGTATGTTTGGCATCTTGAGTTCTTTTCTGCACTGTGGCCTCCTCACTGGCTTAGCACTGTAGGACCTAACCTATACAAAGATAGATATTGGAGGAACCTTTCACTAACAGAGTCAATACAATAAAGCACCATGCCTTTCTGGCACTCCTAGTGCAGAAGTATGTCAGTATTTCTGAATTATTAAGGATTATTAATTCTGATCCCCTATTACTAGGGAAATCAGTCCTCGTGACTCACGTTTCACCTTCTCGACTGCATAATCTACAAGAAACGCTAAGTCTCCAAGGCTGCTCATACCACATCTGCAGCTGCTGGAGTGACAGTTGCATTGAAATGACCAAGGCAGGAAACTGAAACTGAAGTGCCACTTTACATAGTTGGCTGATAACCAACCACACAGAGCCCAGCTCAGCCTGGAGGATGAGCTACTACGAAGCACAAGGCAGCCTATAGAGTATGCTTTCCTTGTGCCTGTCCTCCACGTTTTCAGAAGACATGGTATCTAAGCACGTCTGAGTCTTCAGCTTTTCTTCTATATAGAACAGAGGAAGCTGGGCAGAGGAAGATGGCAGAGGTTAGAGATACTAACTTCTGTTGGGTTCTTCAGAAATAGATTCGAAGGTGAAGATTTGTATGCAAGTGAATTATTAAGGAAGTCTCTTCAGAGAGACCAGTGCTGATATGGGAAGCAGAACAGGATGAGTCTAACCTGGGCAAAATTCCATGAAGGTAGCTTCTACTCGAAGTGTACTATACATAACACTTTGGAGTTTTTCCCACTTTCAGTAAGGAAGTGGGCCTCATACGTCCCCACCTATCAGTTATTGATGAAGGGCTGTCACGTGGCAGCTGGTACAAATTCCCAGGACTTCTGGCTTTCTGCCTATGTAGGCAAAAAGCTACAGTAGCCCGAGGGAAGTCTCTAAAGAGAACGTCCAGGTGGAGGCTGTTGTGGCGAACCTCCTAACAGACATGGTTAGGAACCTAAGAGGATCTGGCAGAGGGTTCGTGGTATTCCACAGTGAATGCAATCTGAACTTTTCTACCTTTAGTAGGCTCAGAAAGACTCCAGAGATGCTTCCTCTTATGATAGGCTGTGAACCACCATCGACAATGTGGAAGTGATTACTGTGGAAATGCTGATTCTAAGCACAAAAGATGCCTGGGAGAGGTCTAGAGATACTTATCCTCTCCAGCAAAGTCCTCTTCAACTATTTCCAGGAAATTGACTGAAGGATGCTATTGTTCCCTCCTTCCAGAACCACAGGGCATATTCTGATTGTCTTAAGCCACCAATGCATCTTACCTCCTGGCCACAGTCATTAGCTTAGAATAGGCAAAAATGATAGAATTATAATTAGGAGAACTGTGACCCAATGCACTGATTTGGCTGTTGGAGGAGGAACTTTCCTCTTCTGAACAGTGTGGTGCAAGCATGAAAGGCTTTCAGCCACTGTAGTCATTAAAGAGGCATGCTTGGAGCTAGTCAGGGAGGACAATACTGCATGGAACCTGAAAATGAAGCCAACGAAGTTAAAAAGAGAGACCAAGAAATTCCAAGACTTTGACAAGATTTGAACATCTGGATCAAGCCATGCCTAATCACTGCTGGCCAATAATCTCCCTTTATATTTTGAGCAGTATGAGCTGGAGTTTCTGTCAGTTGTAACATAAGGACTCCTAAGTCACATGTATACCATTTAACATTTACTGAGAGCTTTTTACAGCAGCCCAGATAAAATGCTGATAGCCATGCATAGAATGTTTATTCAAGCCTCACCACAGACCTATAAGCTACATCCAATGATTATATTACAACTGAGGACACTAAGGCTAAAGTTAAATAATTTGCCCAAGGTCACATGGGCAGTCATGAAGCCAGGATTGAACCAAGTAAGTTTGATTTGAGTCCACTGTCTTCACTATAATGTGTTTTTGCCTTTCTGTATATAAAGAATAATCTTTGACTGCATAAATGTGACCTTTACTCACCTCCATTTTGGCTTAAAAAGTAATTGTAAATGCATAGAGACTCCAGTCACTTAAAGTGAATCCAAGGCACTGTTGGTCTAGATTAGAACATGCCATGTTGGCATTACTTAATTATCAGCTCTAAGATTTTTTTTTCTGAATGTAACTCAAGGCTTCCAATAAGTAATCCCAAAAGTAGGAACATAAGAAAATCAGATACTTTAGCTACTGGTTATTCCCTCGTATAAGCAAAGGCAAGATCATTCCTGCTTATGGTCTGAATTGTGGAGAATGAGAAATAAAGGCAATGCTTTGAGATTGTTTATGGCTGTAGTAGAATTTGGTTTTGCCTATGTAGTGTGAAGACTTCTAATAAGATCATATAATGTATTGCTTTCGGTTATCCAATAAGACTGTCAAATAATACATATTTTTAGCAAAAAACATATATGGCTATGTGGCTTTCATTATACAAAAGACCTATATTGACAAAGAATTTCCAAAGCGGTGGATTTACAACATTTTTATAATATTATTCCAAAATCCCTGTACAAATTTTTTTATGGATTATCACTTGAAATTTGAAAGTCTTCGAGTTCTTTAGGCCTATGACATCAATTTCGCTCACAACTTGTATCATTGCATAACTGACTAATCTAAGAGCATTTCCTACCTTGGGCTGAAGCACAAAAACCACTCATCAGCGCTGGATTTTCAAAGTTCCATGAGTCAAAAGGAATCTCTACTTCCCGAGGAAGCTTATTACGCCCAACTGATCATAGTGCCAGACTGACAGCTGCAGAGTTCTTGTTTCCAGCTGGGTATGGCTGATGGTGTACTGCAAATGAGATTTGCAACATTACATTCCACAAGGAGGGCTCTATCCAATTCCCGGACAGGTTGAAATTTACTTCCGACATCTTTCAGATCATATACATCAGTAACATGAATAAACAAACCCAAAGAAAAAACTCTTTGTTTTTCTTTTTGTTTCTACTTACAATTGAAGTTCTATGCCATAAACTCATTTTGTGCCAGACTTAGCATTGAAAGATATTTGAGGTAGTATTTGAGGTAGAGGTAACCCAGATACTTTAAGGCCAAAGTGTTAGGTGATGAAGCTTATCCTCTTCCAGTTTTATTGGTTTCATTTTCCTCTTAATTATTTTTTCACACTCTACTTTGTAAACTCCAAGGCTTAATATATGTTCTCCAACTTCTTTCTTATCTTATTCATAATGAGAATCCCCAAATCCAGAAAAGAATTGACAATGAGAAACTCGCAAACACCAAATTTTATAGCAAGTCCAGCCTATGTAGAGGTGAAAAGGTGTACATGTATATTAAACAGAAAGAAGATGTTGCTGGCCAGCATTTTTTTTTGGTAACAGCACTATCCAGGGCCACATGCTCACATACCCTCCAACCTTCTGCTTGTTCTATAATCACCATCTGGGACACACTTCAGACTGACTGACTCTGATCTTGGATTAGTGTCTATTCTCATTCTTGCTGTTATTGTTATAATTAACCTTGGCTCCCTGCTTCCTAAATTTACCTCTCCTGTATTTGGGCTCATCTTTTCAATCCTGTTACGGCCATTGAATATATCCTCTGCCTGTATTTATTCATTTGTCAGTTTGTTTTGTCTTAATATTAGCTCCTGCTTCCACACATGCTCCCACTGACACATGCAGGCTCATGGCTTTCTGTCTTTACCAATTTCCTCCTAAAATGGACTCTGCCTCCATCATTCTTGGGCACAAGCTAGATTTCAGAATTGGCAGTAATTTCTTCATTCCATTCTCCTGGATGTTTCTTTACCAGGCCAAATTGGTCCATAGCATGGGAAGGTTAATTATGTGAAAGCTCATTGAAAGAGATTCCTATTTTCTGGATCATTGAGCTGGATTGGGCTATATTTTATCTAGGCCACTTTTGTTGAGATTTCCTCAAATCTGGGCTTTTCATTTCACTATTAACCACATACTTATATTTAGTCAAATTCTGAAATCCTAACAACAAACAGTATAGATCTATGCTATATTAGCAGAACAATGAATGTGTGCAAAATGACTGTTAAGTAGTGTCAAAACTGTGACAAACTTTTTAAGGAAGCTGTGAAAAGCACTGTTTGCCCAAGGTAAAACCGATTTTGGCAAGATGCATCAGCACAGATGCAGTTTGGCTGGATCATCTCTATTCAAGGTTCAAATTCAGTAGTAGCAGAGACATAAACAGAATAAGAGTGTTTTCGTTTCATCAAAAGATGTTAGAAAAGTCATGGTATTATGTTAATTTATTCAAATTCCCACTTTCTAAAACATATACAAGCCTTACATGCAAATAAAATATTCTCTGTAGTTACTTCTAAACTAATAGTTGTGAACAGTATCACATGCTACTATGAGACCACATTTATTTACCTTTAGTGTTTCATTGAATTCTGATTGGTGCCTGTTCTGATTTTGGTCTTACTTGTTGTTCCGGACTTGTCAGGAAGAAGGTATGACTTGACATAACTATAGGTAAGAAAATACAGCCGTAATTATTGTGAAACATCTATCTGCAAGAAATGTTCAAAGACTTCACTGTGAATAAAAGGGGCAAAGGGCCAGTGCGCAACAGAGAGGAAATACCAAAGAGAATTTTGTCTATATAAGAGGATACCTTAAAATGAAACTTCTGGGCCTACAAGAGAGAAGTGGTAAAGTGTAACGATAAAAGAGTGTGGGTTCTGGAGCCAAGCCACCTGATTTTGAATCACTCCATGCCTCAGAGGTTTTGGTGACCTCAAGAATGTACTAAATAACCACTCTGTGCCTCAGTTTCTTCATCTGTAAAACTGGGAAAATAATAATAAGTGTCTAACTGATGGCCTTCTGAGGATTAAATTAGTTGGATACATCCAAGGAGCTACCGTATTGTACTACTCAACAAATGTAATACATTATTAATGTTAACGGTCTCACAAACTTTTCTGGGATTAGATGCTTCTCTATTCCTAGTCTTGCCTTCTGATGTCAGAAAGTGGGGTCAATGGTAATGGGTGAGTGAAAGAAAATAGTGAAAAAGACAAAATAAACAACGACAACCTGAAGTAGTGATAGCAATTCTACCCAACACTTTAGCTTGAGCTATCTCAAGAGCCTCTTGAAGCAGGGTACCACAGCAGCCCAGAAATGTACAAGATGTGTAATGAGGTTGAAATGTATAAGATGCTACTACAGAGTTCTACAGAATATCTGTTGAGTTTTAGAACACTCCTTTCCAAGCTAGTCAAAATAATTACATGGGTCCTGTAGCCTTCTGAAATTTAGTTGGGGAGGCAGGTGGACCAATCCCAGTCAGAATCCAGCCCATTTGTCTATCTCAGGGTATTTGGAACCAGGTTCACTGAGTTATTTTTATTGACCTAGGTCATCTACTGTGCAGAAAAGGGGTTAACATAGTGGGCCTGAGACTGTCATTTTTCTCTAAATGCCTGCTTGCAAATACATGGCCTCGGGTGGCACCTGGCAACTTGGATTTCAGGAGGATTCCTACCATTCCCAGAACAGATAAAAGTGGCTCGTTGTTCCTAAATTGTTTGTACAAAGAAAATGGCTTATGCTGAACAGGTTCTTTCCTTCTGAGAGACTGGAAATTGGTATGTGACCAGCTGAATTTCTAACAAGCTTCCTTGGTAGACAACATTTCACAAGTGTTGTCAGAACTCATCGCCGGAGGAATTAAATGGCCCTCCCTATGTGACTCCAATAGAAAGGACCTCTTGCAAAGTTGAGCCTGATCTCCTGACTTTGCCCTGCTGTGCTTCTTTGCTGATTATAACTGTGCAGAGTCCTGAGTCCTCCTAGTGAATCATTGAACCTGGCAGTGGTCTTGAGGACCCCTGACACACCTTTATATCTAGCTTCTCTCCAATGTGCTATGGTCCATACCTGCCCTCCCAGGCTGATCTCTAGAATCCTGAGAGCCTCATAATTGCCTTTTTGAGTTGTTTAATTGGGTAACAGCTTGCACTCTTTCTGGAGGACTTCCAGAACAAAAATTGACAAGATGCTTTTGTATATCCTGGGTGTACAACATGTCAGCATTCTATCAAAGAGCTGCTTCTGTGTAAATTTCAAATATGTCAATCCGGAATTATGTTTTAAAAATCAGTTAATCAAGGATACAACTAACATACATGTGCTTCAGAGAATATCCAGAAGTGTGGTATAGGAGGAACGTGACAATCAACTCTCTGAGAAGACTGAATCAAGAAGAATGCTAAGACTCTTTTGAAAAGGAAACACACATATAGACAAAAAAGGCAGTGATTGAAATAGTCCGAGGAACATGCTATGTGCTTACGCATCTGTCCTCTGCTCTTTTCATCTCCTATGGCCAGATTTCTGTAATTCTGACGAAAATGTAGAGCCCACTCAGTTTTGTAGCAGTAGCTGATATGGAGAAGGATTTCACCACTGACTTTCACGTTGCCATAGTCTCCGGTTTCACTGTAAACGCTCATCATGCTGTTAAGACTGGTCTGAAAATAAAACAAGATGGAAAAAGGCATCTAGTGTCATTCTAATGATCTCTTCACAGAATCAACCGACTTCATTCAATTATAGTTCCTGTTCTTTCTAATGAGCACAGAAGTCTAGGGTGAGGAAAGAAAACAAGAGTCACTTGCTTGGCTGGCATTGTATAAAATCCCAGCTGAGAAAAGACAACAGAGCTAGTACCATCAGGAAAAAGGCAGAAAACTTGCTTAGAGGGGAAGCATTTCCTTCTTGGGTTAGAGAATACTCCTTTGTTATTTCACTTCTACTAATGAATACATTAGTAGAAGTAATGGTAATTGAGGCATTTCAAATCTTCACTTCTCTTCCGCCCCTGCAGCTTTCTCCATTTTCACTGGTAGACTCAAGTTCACACCTACTACAAGGTGTAGAATACATTGCCTGGGACAAAGAATAGCTTATCTCATATTCTGTGCTACCAGGAGCCACATACTGCTTTCTTGACACCTACAGGAGTATCCCATCAGTTCTGGGGAGCCATAACTGCAGCTTTAACAAGGACATGCCAGAAGAACACCACATACCCACAGCTTCATGATTTCCTCAACTGAGTAGCTAGCCGTGTGGCTGCATGATACTCATAAGACCATGGCTTTCTAAATCAGTATAAAGTAGCAGCCCACAGAATACACACTACACAAATCACACACCAACCAATCAGGAAAGAAGTTTTTAAAAAGTCCAAATCTACCAGAATCACTGAGGCTTTCTGACCAGACACTAATGACATGAGACAGCTTTTTAATTTATAGTAGTCTCGTTACCCACAGTTTCACTTTCCGTAGTCTCCAGCTACCCATGGTCAACTGCAGTTCAAAAATATTAAATGGAAAACTCCAGAAACAAACAATTCATAAGTTTTAAATTGTATGCTGTTTTGAATATGTGAAAGGAAAGTATCTTGGGCACCCAAAATCACAAAGCTAAAGGAAAAAGTCAAACTGGGAACTGCTTAGAGCAAACCTACCTCCCATACCATTCAAAGTCACCTCTGCTCACTTTCCTGAGATACAAATGCATATCTAAGTGCTCTCCTTTGGAAAGGCTAAGAAACGCAAAATAATGCAACTATTTGTCTCTTATCTACCTATGACCTGGAAGCCCCCTCCCGACTTGGAGTTGTCACGCCTTTCCGGACTCCAACCAGTGTCTACCTTACATATGTTGATTGATGTCTTATGTCTCCCTAAAATGTATAAAACCAAACTGTGCTCTGAGCTCCTTGGCTACATGTCAGGACCTCCTGAGGCTGTGTCAGGGGTGCTGGTCCTCAACCTTGGCAAAATAAACTTTCTAAATTAACTGAGACTCCAGCCTCAGATTTTCAGGGTTCACAAGCAGCATGATGAACTCTCATATCATACTGCTGCATCCCACCCTGGATGTGAAGTTTCCTTTGTCCAGTTGAGCCACACTATAGATGATATTTGCCCATTAGTCACTTAGCTGTCTCAGTTATTTGATTGACTGTCCTGCTATCACAGAGCTTGTGTTCAACTCATTCTTATTTTACTTAATAATGACTCCAAAGTGTAAGAGTAATGATGGTAGTAACTTTATATAAGCACAAAGAGAAGCCAAAAGTGCTTTCTTTAAGTGAAGATGTGACCTTGGTGCTTCTTGGCTAGGGTTTGCACTATGAGGTTTCAGGCATCCACTGGGGTGGGTGGAAATGTATCATCTGTGATAAAGGTGACTACAAATGTAATAAAATTATGCTTGGCACTAGAAGTGAAAATCATTGTGTATCTTAGTAACTGTCACAAAGACCACCTGGAGGTATTTCGCGGCTGACCCAATAGTTTCAAAACCACTTTTCTGTGAACCACTGGGAAGTCAAGACTACAGTAAGTACACAGGGACCTTAGACTGTCCTCTTTTTTTGTACTTTGCTTTGGTAAAAGCCATTATGTTCCACCAATTTCTGGGAGAGAGACTGACCAAAGAACAGGATGTGGGTGATGGGGTCACATGTCTTCTAAGCTTCTTCACAGGCAAGAGCAGACCAATAATTCCATAATTATTTGGAAATTACAGCTTAAAAAAAGTCAGTGAGTGACCTAATCTGTCTTTCTTATTCCTAAAACAAAGCAACAGAATTTTCATGTTTAGCAGGTGGTTTGACAGTGCTTTTCAAACTTTAATTGCATAGAAATCACTCCAGATATCTTTTAAACTGAAAATGCTTATCTCTTCAGTCTGGGGTGAGGTCTGAGATTTGGCTGTTCTAACAAACTCCTAGGCCTGCAGTTCCCAAACTGTGTATCGAGGTACCACAGAGCACCACAGCAAACTCACAGGGGAATCACAGAAAGATTTTAAATTCTCAAGGGAAACACAATACCACCTTATCAGACAATTAATGTCAGCTACTAACTAGTAATTCACAGTGTCAACATTAAACCACGCTTTATTCTTTTCAATGAACTCCCAGTTGTTTCAGTTGAGTTTTTGGCAGTTGCTGCAACAAAAGCAATTGTAATAAAAATGAATATGAAATGGGAAATGAAAGTAGCGATGTCCAATCAGATTCCAAGATTTGGTAACTGTGTAGTGCTCAATAGGCACATATCCACAGTGGTAAGTAATAGGTGCTATTTAAGGATGAAATAAAAATACTATTTTTCTTTCCATTTACTTGTAGCATTTTTTCAAATGGCTAGCTAGTTGTTAGATACTGTGCTTATTAAATTGTTTGGGTCTAACTGCTTAATAAATGGACTAGTCAGGTGCTACTTTTAGTGTAGGAGTGCAGTAAAGAATTACTGAGACACTAGAAAGTGGCTTTTTTTGAACTGAGAAAGTTTTGGAGTATCTATTCAAGGATGCAAATGTGCTGGTCCATGGAGATTTGAGTAGCAAAGGTTTCAAGAATAAGCCCAACTCTCATGTTACAAATGAGAAAATTCTGTCACAAAAATTGCTGGTAGCCAAGGAATAAAGCAAGATCTCCAGGTTTCTAGTCTGAGGACTACCCCACCATACCTGATTACCTCCCGTATCACTGGATTTGTGTCTATACTCACATCTTCTGTAGCCACATTTTCAAAGAAAATCCTCTGTAAGCAGAGGTCCCTATGGATAGAAGGAAATTTAGAACCTACAAATATGGAGGCTGTGAGAAATTAAGACAGCTATGGCAATTTTACTACTAACTAAACCATATGCCTAACCAAGCTAAGGCTGTGATTTAAAATAGATGTTTACTTCAAAGGTTTTGTTGATAATACATCATTTTAGACCATGTGTCTTTTTGGAGGGTGTTCAGATTCCAATGTTTAATGAATTGGAATATTTGGGTTCTGATAAACTCATCAATCTTTTAAAAGATAACTTGGTTAATTGTATATAAGTCCGAAAAGATAAATATGGGACGAATTGCTTAATCATAGTTCCCAGGCCATGAAATTTGTGAAGTACGGTTGAAAGAACAAAAGGAAAAGTTGAAAACTCACAGTGTCTGAGTCAGCATCAGGCACATTTAGGTAGGTCCACTTCCTGTCAGAACTCAGCTTGAGAATTCTTAGAGAAGTCATCCAAAGATCAAAAGGAAAAAGCATCAGAGCAACAGAAATCAGAGAAGCCAAGAAGAAGACTTACAGATACACAGTTAGATATACAGGGCCTCCTCTCAGAAAAGGCCTCTTGAAACACTAACGAAAGAAAGGACTTTATTTTGTAGGCAGGGAAGCTATTGACGGGGTTTTGAGAAAGGGATAATTTGATTGGGCAAGTACGTGTTTTAGGAATGACTGGCAGCAGTCTGAGGACAGTTGGGGAGCGAGAATAGTGTCAGGGAAATGTGTCAGCAGATAATTGAAAATAATTTATAGCTTGAGCTGACTGAGCCTGAACTAGGAGTGAGTGAGATTTTAAAACTTGGGTGAGGATCAGAAGCAAATAAGTGAAATCAGAGCCTGAGAAAACTATACCAAATTAGACTGAAAGGTACTCTGTGGGAAGTATGGCAAGCAGGATCTTACAATGACTTTTAACTCATTACTGCCATTGTTCTAAGAACATTTATATCTCCTTTGGAAATGCACAGCAAATCAAAAAGAGAGAAAAGAAACTTTCCGCATGTCCTAGTGAACTGCTTACAGTTGATAGGCCACTTCCTTCCATGATCAAAGTGGTTTGTGATAACTATGAGGACACTAAGGCATCAATGCTTTCCAGTCTTTCCAAGGAGTCCTAAAACAGAAGGGGAAAATCAGTGGGTTGGTTTGGCCTGTTTTCAGAATTGTCTTTTCACTTGAAAACCACTTTCTTCATAAATTCTTGAGAATCAGATAAAAATATCTAGAAACTACCTGTTCCTAGGTTCTTTCTTTTCCTCTCCAGTCAATCTGAATTACACCATCGAGAAGGGCAAGGATAGTGGGTGGAGAGTGGGCCCCTTTCTAATGGTGCTTACTTTATGGAAAGAACATGAAATTTGGAATCATACAGACTCCGGGTTCAATTCCTACCTCTAAGGTGATTCATGTTGGGCAATGTACTTACGTTACTTTAAAATTAAAAAAAAAAAAAAATTGTATGCACGTGCACACACACACACACGCGCGCACTGCCAAGGTGGTAAAGTATATCTCAAAAATCTTTCCACTAGGTGAACTAGATACTGGACTCTCATCTCAAATCCCAGATTCTACTTTTCCTTTCCGCTTTTTCTCCTTCATGATAAAGTGCCTTTTTTTTTTGCCTAGTTATTTAAGTGATATATTTTCCTAGTAAAAACATTTTAAGCAATATAAATAAATGGAAATTAAAAACTTAGGTCTCTCATTAACATATTAATGATCAATTCCAATATTTTTGATTATATGATCACATATATATATACACACATATACACATATACACATAGATAGATTATACTGCTATACTGCTTTTATTGCTGCACTTTTCTTTTGCTTCTCCTCTCCTCCTTCCTCCTTTCATGCCCAGGCAAAAATTAATATTTGGCATCCTGCTGCACATATTACATTCCATGTCTTTCTCCTTGTTTATGTGAAAAATCATATAAAAACATACACACAAATCTAAGTATACATTCTGATTTTTTAACTGTTTTACAAATCAGGATTATGATGTACACTTCTGGGCTTGCTTTAAAAAAGTGTTTATTATAAGATGCAGCATATTAAAAATACATAAAATGTAGATGTATAGTATAATAACAACATCAACTGATCACAGAAGCTCCTCAGTATCCCATCCATATCACAAGCCCCTTCTCCCCCAGGGAATAATTAGCATTTTAACCTTACGGTTAACCACATCCTTGCTTTTATTTATAGTTTAACTGCAATAAGATACACTCTGAAACAAAAAGATTTTGTTTTGCCTGTCTTTAAACTCGTGAAATGTACTAAATGCTACACATTCCTTTGCATTTTGCTTTTTTGCTTAATATTGCCTTAAAATTCATCAAAATTGTGGCATATTTTTGCAGCCCATTCATTTTTATTATCATTTAATATTCCACTGTATGATATCCAAAACTTTATCCATTCTCTTGTTGCTGAACATTTGGGTTGTTTTCAGATTTTTTTTCTATTGTGACTAACACTGATATGTATATTCTGTGAATATGTATCCTGGTGCATATACACAACACAGTGGTGCATTATTAAATACAGTATATATATTCACACACTTGAATATATACCAGTGAGAGGAATTGTCAAGTCATGGGGTGAGCATATCTCCACATGCTTATCTACATCATTTTAAAGATAACTGCCAAACTTTCAGAAGTAGTTATACCAATTTACAGTCTAATCAGTAGTGTATGAGAGTTCCTGCTGCTCCATCCTGCCTGCAAACAGACGGTATTGTTAGATTTTTCATTTTTGCTAATCCAGTAGATGTTTACGGCTCTATGATTTTAATTTCCATTTCTCTTTACTAAGTTGAATACTATTTGTGATAGTTGGCCAACTGGATTTCCTGTTTTGTGAAATACTTGTTCAAAATCGCTTATTTTTATATTGGTTTATGGTAAGTTATTACTAACGGCATCCATAGGTTCTGAAAACTGCAACTTTAAGTGAAAGGATGTGCAGCGGGTCCTCAATAATACTACCATTAAAACATTGATGAGGGATAAAAAGGTTTTGTTATACATCATTTTGCTGAAAGTGGCAGTTTCCAAGAATCTGTTGATGATGTTAAATGAGAACTTATTGTAGTTGCCTTTTTCTCACTGATGATCCCACAAGATGAGTTGGAATATCTTGTAGAATAGCATCTTGTAAGAAAGGGCTGGCTTCATGGATGAATTCTTCTGAACATTTGAGGAAGAATTAATGCCAATTCCTGTCAAATTCTTCCAAAAATTGAAGACGAGGGAATACTTCCAAACTAATTTTATGAAACCAGCACTACCTCGATAGCAAAGTCAGACAAGGATACTACAAAAAAAAAACAAAAACCAAAACAAACAAACAAACAAAAAAAAAAGGGACAATTGCAGGCCAATATCCCTAATAAACCATAGATGCAAAAATCCTCATCAAAATGCTAGCAAACTGAATTCAGCAGCACATGAAAAAGCCTATTCAACCTGACTAAGTGGGATTTATCCTGAATGCAATGATGGTTTAACATAAAACAAATCAATAGTTGTGATAAACTTACTAACAGAATGAAGGATAAACCCATAAGGATCATCTCAATAGATGCAGAAAAGGCACTTGAAAAATCAACATCTCTTCGTACTAAAAACTAACAAATTAGATAAAGAAAAAATTTACCTCAACATAAAATCATACAGAGCAAGCTCTTAGCTAGCATTATACCCAACATTGAAAAGCCAAAACATTTCTCTAAGATCAGAAAATACAGTATGCCCACTCTTACCAACTCTACTCCATATAGTGCTGGATGTCCTTAAGCTTATATAAAAATTAAACAGGGAAAAGAAATAAAAGGCATCTAAATTGGAAAGGAAGAAATAAAATTGTCTGTTTGCAGATGACATGATTTTATATATAGAATTCTAAAATCCCCCAGCAAAAGCTGCCAAAACTAATAAGCCTTTAATTCTGAAAAATGTATTCTATTATTTTTTCAAATTGTCCCTTTTCTATATTTTTTTATGTTTTGCCTTCTATACAATTACTCCAGTGATCATCAAGTATAAAGCACCAGTCTTCGTATTTCTTTACTTTCTTTTAAAGTGGATATTAAAAATTCAAATATCTGACAAAAATATAAAGAATAGCATAATGAACCCTTATAACTGATTACCCAGTTTTAACAAAGATCACTTTTCCAGCTATTTTCCTTGCTGCTTATTTTTTCTCCCACAACTTTATTGAGGTATGACTTGCATACCATAAAATTTACTCATTGTATATGCAATTCAGTGATTTTTAGCAAATTTAGAGTTGAGCAAACATCAACATAATCCAGTTTAGCATATCATCAATCCAATAAGTTACTCCCATGCCTGTTTGCAGTCAGTCCCTACTTCTTCAGTCCCTGGCAACCATTACACTGCTTTAATCTCCCTATCAATTTTCCTTTCATTGACATTTCATATAAATATAATTATATGATATATAGTTTCACCTGGTTTCTTTCACTTAGCATAATATTTTCAAGGTTCATCCATGTTGTAGTATGTGTCAGTACTTCATTTCTTTTTACTTCTGAATAATACATCACGTATTCCATCTATTCACCAGAGAGTATTATTTTCACTTTTTGTTTATTACGAATAATGCTAAGCAGAACCACTGCAGCTCCTTATGACATACATTTTCATTTCTCTGCAGATACCTAGGATCAGAATTGTGTCATGTAGTAAATTTATGTTTAATTTTAAAGAAATTGTGAAATCCCTTTACGGAATGGCTGTAGGTAGCATTTTGCATTACCATTAGCAATGTAGGGGGGTTCCAATTTCTCTGCATCCTCATTGACACTTATTATTATGTCTTTTTAATCACATCCATTCAAGGGGATGTGAAGTGGTGTCTCTGTCAGATTTTAATTTTGTTTCTCTGATAAATTCAATGATGCTGGAACATATTTTAAGGTGGCTATTAGCATTTGAAAATCTTCTTTGATTAAATGTCTATCCCAAATCTTTCCATTATCTAATATGATTATCATCTTTTTGATATTGAATAAGGGTTTTAAGAAATATATTCTAGATATAAGTCCTTTAACAAATATATAATTTGAAAAATATTTTTCCAGTCTGTGGCTTGACTTTTCTAAGTGTCTGTAATGTTGTCTTTTGAAGTGTAAACATTTTTCATTTTGATGAAATTCAATTTATCGTTTTTTTTTTTCTTGAACACATGCATATTGCTTTTGATGCCATATCTAAGAATTATTTGCCTAACTCAAAGTCATGGAGATTTTCTCCTAGGTTTTTGAGAATTTATAGTTTCACCTCTACATTTAGGTTTATAATCCATTTTGCGTTACTTGGTTTCTGTATGGTATATGTTAAGAGTCAAAGTTCCTTTATGTTTTGTGGTATTTGGATATCCAGTTGTCCCAGTATGATTTGTTGAAAAGGTTATTCTTTCCCCCACTGAAGTACCAAAAATCAATCGGCCATAAAGTTTTTTTTTTTTTTTTTTCCTGAAATCTCAATTCTATTCCATTGATTGCCAATGCTTATGCCAATACTCGTGTTGTACTGATAACTATAACTGTAGGGTAAGTTTTTAAATCTAGTAGTATAAATCTTCCAACTTTGCTCTTTAAAATTGATTTTGTTATTCTGGGTCCCATATATTTTCATAAAAATGGTAGAATCACATTTTCTATTTCTACGAAATTATCCTGCTTGTATTTTGTGATTTTTGGTTTGTATTGTCTATACATTTATTTGGAGAATTTCATCTTAAAATATTGAATCTTCTAATCCATTAACACAGAATATATTTCTACTAATTTAGGTCTCCTTTAATTCAGAAATATTTTTGTTAATTTCAATGCACATGTCTTAACTTTTAAAAATGAATTTATTCCTTACTTTTGAAAATTATTTTTCATGCTATTATGAATGGACTTATATTCTTAATTTCATTTTCCAATTGATTATTGCTAGTATATATAAATACAGTTGATTTTTGTGTATTGATCTTATCTCCTGCAACCTTACTGAACTTATCAGTTCTAGTCATATTTTTGTAGATCCTTTAATATCTTCTACATACAGAATCATGTCATTTTCCTCTTTAGTATATTGATATAAATTATGCTGACAATATTCTTATAGATTCATTCTTCCACCCATACTTAGCATAAAACTTACTTATTGCTATTTTTATTCACTGCTAGATTTTAATTGATATTATATTTAAAGTTTTGGATATATATTCATAAACTAGTTTGACTTGTAGTTTTATTTTTTAAATCTATTTTATGCAAATCAAGTCTGAGTGCTCAAGATTATACTGGCTGCATACAATGAATGTAAAGATTTTAATGGTTTTCTAAGATCAGGAATAGTTTAATAGTTTAATAATGTTGGAATTAGTAATTCTTTAAAGGTTGAACATGAGTAAGCTTTGAAATAATTTGATCTCACTGCCTACCTCTCTTTTGGAAGTAGATTTTAAAGTATTTTTCCTAGTTTTTGTACTATAGAAAATGTTATTTCATTCTTATAACTCTAAGTTTCTAGTTTGCTTTAAAAACTATCAATACCATTTACATTTGTGTTCTATTTCTTCAAGGAGTCCAAATTTTATTATAGCAATTACAGAAATCTGAATATTATCAGAATATTAGAATTGGAAATAACTTTACAATAATCTAATTTAACCTTCTCATTCTAGAAATGAGTTCACTGAAACATTAATTTTCATACACTTTGTCTCAGTTTAGAAGTGAATTCTATTAGTGGTAACTTGAGATATAGCAATGTCTATATAAATATGTAATCAGATAAGCCTAATAATATTTGGCTTAGGAAAATGCTAGGATCCCTTATTTCCCAGGTTTAGATTAAGTGATAAGCCTTTAGCCGGAAACCGAATCCTAACATGTATTTTCTTAGACATAACCTTCACTCATTAACATGATTAACCATTACGTTTTCTAAGTTATTCTTTCTGTGTTTATGTGTTGACTGTGAAGACTAACAGGAAGAGATGATTGTATATCCTCTCTTTACTCTCAACTCATCATCACCTAAAAGTGTAACCACTTGCAGCAAGATTATGTCTTATTTCCTCCTCATCATTATAGTTTCATCCAACTTACCTTGTCAAAAGTCCCAGGACAGACTGTTTTATGCTTACTGTATCCTCTAAGCTCCTTGCAAATGACTCCACTAATCTAACTCAGATCGGCTCTGATCTGGAAGGTGGAAAGGAAAAAGAAAGATGTGAGTCATCATATTTTGTGAGAAGATTTCATTTTTTTATTTTCTGTGAGTGTTTCACTTCGTTATTTCTCAGTTCCTTTTAGGCACAGATCATGTCAGTGAAAGCAAACAGTCGGAGTCAGTAACTTCATGCTGTTTATGACAACATATCATTTTTAATAATATTTTGGTAATTGCCTTGACCAAATTACACTTATGTGTTCATGTTTCCTTCTATCACAGGAGGTTAAATGTTTTACTGTAAAATGCTATGTTTTAAGCTGTTTAAGGCAAACTGCTTTGCTTAGACTTTAAAAACTCTCTTTAGACTGGGCCCTAACTTAGAAAAAATAAACCTTAACAATTCTTGCTTGCAATATTTAGAGAATTCACTGTGTTTTCAGATTTGACATAAAATTCAATGCAACTGATTCTAAACTGCCACTTTGAAGTGATATAGCAAGTTCTTTCACACAAAAGGAGACGCTATAGATGCAACGAGAGGAAGTTCTATTTCTTAAGGGACCAAAACATTCTTTCATCAGAAGAACATCTTGTTTAGCTGAAAATATAAGGTTACAGAGCAATACACTCTTAGTAATGCTGTAGAGAGTTTACCAAGTCAGCACAGCTTATTTCCACAAAATAGTTCTATACCCAAACAATTACTGAGACTGATATAGTTACTTATAAATGAGAAAGATTGGAGAGAGTAATCAAGTACTTAAATTTGAATTAGATGAAAAAATAATGAAGTGAAGCTTAGCATAGGCCTGACACAGAGTATGTAATTAATTAACAGGAATTGTTGAGTCGAAGTAGTAGTAGAAGAGATCCTATGATGTTGGTTTCAAACTAGTTTCAAAATTTAATTAACAGGTGAACAGCTTTACTCCTGGAGCAAAATGTACCAATAACTACACACATTTAGAAAACCCTTTGGGAGCTGGCTGGCTAGAACAGACTCCTCAATTCAGCATACAGAATCCTGCCTTAGGCTTTATGCATATGTCATCATTAGGTAACACGTAACTTTTTAATGTTGAAGATTTCATCATGATTTTTATTCCATGCATGGGACATAAGCTTCATAATTATGACAAATTTCTCTAAAGAATTTTCTTATTATAGGTATTAACATTTCAAAATGAATAATAGCTGCTTCAGAGGACTGTTGTGATAATGAAGTAAAATGACATATTTGAGTGTACCATGCAAATGAAAGGGGTAATTATTAATATCTTAGTGCGGCTTGCAATAACTTTATTTAAACCACAGAATGATTTTCTTTTGTCTTTATGTAGGAAACTTCTGACCACTATATCAATTGAACTACCATTTCCTTGAACTCTGAGCTAGCCGCTTCTTATCTGTCATATCAAATGTATCCTGAACCGCTTTGAGTATTCCCTACATTCAAATATTGATATTCTGATGTAGCACTGAAACTCGGTGATGATGCCTGGCAAGAGTATATACTAAATAAGTGGAATTTTCATAAACATAAGGTAGTCAGCATTACCTGGGTCTATCTTCAAGCAGTTCTTATGGAGCGTCTACCACCATAGGTCACATGGATGCTTACTTTTAAAGTATGAGACATCCATTTAATACTATACATATCAGTCAATCTCCATTGGTTTTAGTCATTTTAAACAACAGAGTAGGCACGTTGTAAATACCCACCTGAGGAGAGAGGTTCCAGATGACTATGGAAGGTGTGCCAGAAGTAAGTTCCTGCGGTGACTCTTTGAACTCCTGAGAGGTACTCTCTAAGAGCAGCCAAATCTGTGGAATTTTCTGAAACCATATACTCCTTCCCACAAAGTAAAAATGAGAAAAACAAATTATACTGACTGTAATTTACTACAAAATTCATCTATATAAAATATACTTCAGTATAAACATCTTTATATGTATTACTATTTAGAGGACTAATTGACATTTGAAGGACTTACCAGGAGTCCAGGCGAACTCCAAAATTTACCATCATTAATTAAGTATCCAAAATCTATTCAAGAGGTTTGTTAATTAGTGCAAAAGGTATCTGGACACTTTCAGTCTCCCAAATTAATGAGTGCTCTAATATATGATTAATAAGAAAGATTATACAGGTACCCTCAATCTTATATGAACTATGTATAATAATCTGGCAAGATTCAGGCTTAAAATTTATTTTGGTCCTATTTGTTCCTTTCAACATACCCTCTTCAACCATCCCTTACCTCTTCCACTCCCATTTAACAGAAAACCATGTACCTTTTCCATCTGGAAGGCTGGCTGGTCAGAATATGGATGGTTACATCTATTTTGGAATGACTTTCATGCATGGTACTTATCAATGTTCATAAAAAGATAAAGAGAGAAAACTTCCCAAGCTCACAGGAATAGTATTTTTTTGTGTGGTGTCTGCTTGTTAATAAATGCTTGTACATGTGGCAGAATCTGTCGGGGACTTGTTTATTGTAACATATGTTAAAGAAAATTTGTCCTTAACTTTGCCCATGACCATAGACCCAAATTTGTCTGTGACCTTGCCTCATGTAGACCAAGGCAGGGCTTGACTGTTGCCCCATCTGAAGCTTGCTTGAGTGTTAAAACAACAACTACATAACAAATTTTGACCTTTCCAGAACTGGGCTGGAGGTTAAGGCCCATTCAAATTACATCATGGTATGATAATGATCAAATCTAAAACAGATTTTTCACTTCTCCCTTCCATAAACAATCAAAAAGTACCTTTTGAAACCCTAGAGGAAGAATTTCCTCCTGTTTCCTATATCTTAGACATTCAGGAACACTTTGATGAACTCACTACAGTGAAATGTGGCTTTCACTTGCTTAACATAATTGATTCAACAATTTAGACTGTTCTCCAACACATACCTGTAGCAGGAGGTATATAGCTCCTAACTTCCTCTAATTGCCATAGACAAGGAAAGTTTATCAAGAGTGTGACAGAGGTCAATTTGATAAATTAGTTTAGGTCGATTTTCAACCTCTTCAAAAAGTTGTTCACACATGGAGTTCTCTAATGAAGCAAGACCAAGTTCCTTGGAGGCAATTATGTTAATGGCAAGTTTTCCCACAGGATCTTGTGAGTATCATTAGTATTGTGCAATAATAGGCCAACATATTGCAGGTCATTAATAAGCAATACATACCCCAGAGGTTCAGATGTCAAGCCTAAAATTAATAGGTTACATCATAGTAGAGGACAGGTTAGAGACTTTCATGCTCTAAAAGTTTTCTGTGATGGTTAATATTAGGCATCACTGATTGGATTGAGGGATGCCCAGATGGCTGATGTACATTATTCCTTGGGTGCGTCTGTGAGGGTGTTGCCAGAGGAGACTGACATTGAGCCAGTGGACTGAGAAAGGAACCCATTCTGCGTGGAGTGGGCACCATCCAATCAGCTGCCAGTGGCTAGAACAAAGCACATGAAATAACAGGATAAGTGTTTGTTTGCTGAGTCTGCTCACTCTTTCTCTCCCAAGCTGCACCAGACACTTGGCTTCTCTCTCCCTCCTGTCTCGACATCAGGACTCAGGTTCTTCAGCCTTTAGACTCTGGGACTTACACCAGCAGCCTTCCAGGGGCTTTTGGGCTTTCAGCCTTTGTATTAGGGTTACATTGTCAGCCTCCCTGATTTTGAGGCATTTGGACTTGGATTGAGCCATCCTACTGTCTTCTCTCTTTCACAACCTGCAGACAGCTCATCGGGACGTGTCTTGTAATTGAAAATAAATCTCCCTAATAAACTCCTTATATATATCTGCATATCTTATCAGTTCTGTATCCCCTGTGAGATCCCTGACTAATATATTTTCTTTTCTCATGCTAAAGCAGAAAAGAACATTGAAACAAAGAGATGCTAAGAAATGGGAGAAATTGAGAAGTTGTTATCTTGCTCATCATCTAATGCTATATACTTCCCATCTAAGGCTATATACTTCCCTGTATAATGTGAGCAAATGTACTTCATAAACTACTGTGCTGTCTTATTTTTATTCAATAGAAAGTACTTCTCTTTGTTTCTCTTTTTTTTCTCTTATACACCAACTTAGGACCACGTAGATTGCAAGAATTGAGCTCAACATAGGCACTATTTACGTATATGTACATATAGTCTACTAAATCTGCAGGAATTTCTGTTGGGGAAATCTGGGCTCTCTTAAACAAAGAAATACACAAGTAGGGGCTGTTAGTTTTGAGGGTATAGCACATGAAAAGGCATTTCCCCTAATAATCTCAAATTGTATGTAGGAAGACAAACTTTGTTGTGAGAATAAACTTGATTAACTTACTGGTCATTGGACTGATTGTCAGCTGCTACCCACTGGGACAACTGTACTAGATGTTAAATTTTTAAAAATATTTCTGTGTCAGTTGATAAACAGCACTACTCCCAGTCCACTCCCACTTCCCTGTGCTCACCCTCATCCATAAGCCCAGGTCTCCCGATAATTCAGATCTAGTGCATGACATGGAAGGGTCCCCAGGATACTGCCCCAGCCTTGTGCCAGTGTCTGTTGTGATTTCTCAACGTCCCTGCCAGACTGGTCACTAAGTAGTTTGAATATCATTCCTTTTAGATCTCCAAGAGTTGAAGTGTATTCACAACTATCCATGCCTCCTTTTCTAGCTATTGAACAGAAATGGCTTGCTGACCTTAGGCACAAATATTTATGAAATTTTAAATATGCCTTTTATCTTAGCACCATGGGTTAGACTGTAAATGTTTAAATAACTTATTATTGTTATTCAATCTGTCTGAATGCCTTAACGGGAATTTGACTACTCGCCACCTCCACTATCTCTTTTGTTTCAAAACCCAGTCTCTCACATGGGTAAGACAATGGCTCACTGATTGCTTCTTCTGGCTTTCACCTTGTTCTACAGCTGGTTCTCAGCACAACTCCCAATCCTGCTTAAAGAGAAGGCAGATTATGTTGTTTCTTCTGCTTTAAAAACTCCAGTTTCCATCTTAATCAGTGTGAATGCTGACTGCACACATCACTCTTCAAGGCTCTCTCCAGCCCTATGACCTCTTTGGATTCATTTCCTAGTTCACTTTGCCTCATTCACTCACCACAGCTGCATTGGCCTTCCCTCTTCCTTGAACATACCAGGTGTGCTCCACCTAGGCCCACACTGGCTGTTCTTCTAGAGGCATTAAAAATATTTAAAACTGGCTGAGCAAGGGCACTGACCAATCAAGATGGAGACCAGCTACAAGGAAGTGGAGCAGCCTTCCCTGCATGTACCTGAATATCAGCTACTGCTTGCCTGGTGGAACACCGTGCCTCAGAAAACTACATTGCTAATTCTTTCACTTCCTTCAAGTCTTTGCTTGACTAGAGTCTGTTATATAGCAGGTTCTCATTAAGGTTGGTTGAGCCAAAAATTGTTTGTATTGTATGAACTCACTGTTCATATAAAGATGTATCAAATATAGATGCCAGCAATGTGGATGGAGCTTCCTGTTAAATAAAAAATCTAGTCATGTGCTAATTCATTCCAACACAACTTCCAACGGAATATTTAATAAAAGAGAACATTTTTCCCAAAAATGGTTTTTTTTTCATATTCTCTTTTAAAAGAGAAACCAATAGAAAATATAATTGATCACGTCTATATATATATATACCCAATTGGAAACCTTCATTATGTGTTGACTCTATTTTAACAGATGTATAGAAAAGAAAACTATAAAAATTTCTATTTTAAAAATTAGATAAAAGTTCTACTTTTCCAGATTTAAAACAGTTTGGAAAAATTTGTGCACTCAACCTATGAATATTTAAAGAGTAACAGAGAGGATCAAAATCAGAGCCTTCTAAAATGTTTTTATATTTATTTAATCCATATAGCAATTTAAACCTCCATCATACAAGTGCTACCTTTGAACCTGGTCTTTCCCTTCCCTTTTTCACTTTGGGTTTCCTTCCAGGAGCTAAGATGCAGGAGGTTCAGTCCTGATGAAGCTTACCTTAAAGAGCATAAAGAATATGCTCTGATATATATAGAGAGTTTAAACCTAGCCACGATGCAGTGGTGAGGTTGAATCAGAGACCAGTGTCTGATATGGTTTGGCTCTGTGTCCCTACCTGAATGTCATCTCGAACTGTAATCCCCACAATCTCCAGGAGGGAGGGACCTGGTGGTGGATGATTGAGTCATCGGGGAGCCTTCCCCTGTGCTATTCTGGTGATAGTGAGTTCTCACGAGATTTGATAGTTTTACGGGCGGTTTGACATGACTCCTTCTGCCATGATTGTGGAGTTTCCTGAGGCCTCTGCAGCCATGGAACTGTGAGTCCATTAAACCTCTTTTGTTTATAAATTACCCGATCTCTGGCAGTTCTTTATAGCAGTGCGAGAACGAACTAATACAGTGTTCATCAGGTTTGTATACTTACTCTACTGATGACCGAGGTCACACTTCGTGTGCTTGGGGCTAGAGACCTCTGAGTGACTGGGGTCACACCACTGCTCCTACTGCTCTTTGGGGTCCTAGAACCAGCTTCCTGGTCATTGAGATCTGATGAGCTGAAGCCTCCTCTAAATGAGAAAGCATATTCTGACTTTTGTAATATGGAAGCAGAGCAGCAACTAAATACACAGGCAGAGTAAAGCTGATGAGGAAACTGATAAGAACATGAAATCCACACTGAGTTCACAAGAGTCACACTGGAACTGCTCAGAAACTATCATGTCACCTTCCTCCCCAAAGACCCTGGAGGGTATCACTAGATTTGTCCCATTTGCCTGACTCCAGGTCACTGTAATTAAACTTCACTCCCATCTTTCTCATTTTGTTTCCTTCCGCTTACCAACATTCTCTCAGCCAGTCTGGGTTCCTTACCATTTTCAACTCTGCCATCTTGAATTCCACCTCCTGAGGCCTTTTCTTACCTTCTCTCCACCTGTTATGCCCTCTAACTACTCTCCGTCTATGCAAATCTTTCTCAGTCTTCAAAGGCAAATGAAGTCCAGCCTTCCCCATTAGGCCTTTCCTGTCAAGCAGAAGCCTTGTCAACCTCTGTTCCACTCAGTTCCTATTGACTTATGGTCTTTGCCTGACTACTGTATTTAGTACTTGACTGCACAATGTCTTGTTTGGCTCCCTAGTGGATCCACATATGAGACCTTGGGTGTTTCCTGAATAAACCAGAACTTCTTTGGGAACAGAGTCTATGTCATAATTAACATGTATCTCCAGCAGCTTTATAGTGCCTTAGTACAAAGAAGCCACTCAATACATATTTAATCAAAGATTAGCAGTTATATTTCATTTCTCTGTGTTGTTTTAGTGTCTAATTCATGGTGGACATTTAATAAATATGGTACAAAAATAATGACATTTGCAAATGAGCTTGAATCACTTTCATGTGTGCTAAAACCATTCAATTCAATCCAATAACAATAAATGAAAAAGCAGTTCCTGCCCTTGAGGTGTTCACAATTTTCTTATTAAATGAGTTTCATAAGTAAACATAAATTTTGACAAATTGGAGTTTAAGAGAAGTGTTTGTTCCCATTTTATTCTTTTTCCTCAGTGGGCACAAAATACGCTAAGTGGTAAAACAGAAGTCCTTATGAGTTTTACTCTCTCAGTTACTGTCTTAATAAATTACAAATGCACATATAATAGTATACATCTTATTGGTAAAGCATAATGGTGGTTAATAGGTGATGAGGACTTACAGTTGAGCCAGGAGGAAAGAGACTAAAAAGAATAAAGGAATACTTTAAAAGCATGTTTAAATGTTTAATGCACATATCATTACTAGAAGACAAATCAGGCAGAAGAATAGGCAATGACCATTGGATAGAACTGTCAACCACAACTCCTAAGTGTTTTCAAAGCTGTGCACCAGAGAAGTCATCAAAACCAAATTTGTCCTGGACCACATTACCAGCTACCACCACCTTCAATAATCATGAATAGCAGTGGCATTTACTTAGTATGTTCTAGGCATTGTTTACTCACCCCCAATATCCCTGTAAATATGTTTTGTAGTTTCATTATTTAATATTTTTAAAATGAAGAACAGAGTCTTGGAGAGGTTAAATAATTATTCATACATGTATGTGTGCACACACACACATGCATACACACACACTGACAAACCACCATGCTATCAGCATAAAAACAGTATCAAGGTCTACCCAAAGCCTGTGACCATTCTAGTTTCTACTGCTTACTCATCATTTCACTAAGAACAAGTCATTACAGCCAGGCAGGTTTTGCATTTATAGAATGAACTATCAAACAGAAGATAATCAAAGGAACAAGGAGCCAGGAGTTAAGCCTTTTCCTTGGGACTTGATTATGAGAATTATGAAAATTTTCGTGTTAGTAAAGAGTGGTTACTAAAGGGTGGCATTTCTTTTTCATCAAAGGGTCTCTGCAGAAAGGATCTCTATTTCCTTGTAGAGATGGTACTATAAGTAAATTATAGCACTATGAACTCAGCTGAGAAGATGTCTAAGACTGTGTCTGTTGATTCTGACAACAAGAGAGTAAAATTTTGTGATTAAGTAAATTGATACACTTTGGAATTCTAATTTCCTTGGTGATTTTCCTGAACTCTTCTACCTGGAGCATGACATTTCTACACTTGACAACAGTTAGCCACATTTGTACTCCCTTCCAAGCATTTCCCGCTCATCTCAGAGGTCCTACTTAGAGAGGCATGGCTGATTCTCTCCTGTTGATGCTGTACTGTGACCATAGGTTCTTCTAGAACAATATTAACACAAAATATGTCTCCCTACCGTTTCAGGTAAAATCTTCTTTAAAAAGAAAGCGCAGGGGTGAATCTTGCAGAAATGAGCCAAGAAGCAGGAACCAAAGGACTTATGTGGGTATTTCTGCCTGTGTGTGTGTGGAAGGTCCTCCCAGAGCCAGGTGGTTTTGAGAAAGGCCTCATCATGGATTCGCCTTGCTGAAACCAAAAGTGCTACTTATGTAGAAGTCGGGCAGAAGTTGATTAATTGTGGTGGTGACATTCAAGAGGTTATCCCATAATAAGGAAAAATTTTGCGACATAAGTCATTACCGTAAATTATCATTGCCAGCAGCATTATCTCAAAAATGACATAGACTTTCACATTTGTCCCTGACATTTATTGTGAGCTTCTCAAACATTTTTTTTTCCAGTTGATTAAACTCGGAAAAGGTTTAGTCTAATAAGGCATATTGTCATAAATATTCGGGTGCCAACTCATTTAGAAGTTATGTAAAATATGACATAAAATACATGAATCTTTGCCACTGAAATTGGAAAAGGATAAAAGCTATGTCAAGTCAAAATTAAAGTTGTGAAGTTTAAAGGTCAACTAAGAAAAAGCAATTTTTTGATTCAGCTATCATGTTACTTAGATTTAAATAAAAAGTATGATAAATCAGTGCCAACAAACCTTCAAGCTAAAATGTGGTTAAGTGAAAACCGGCAAGAAAGAGATACATTTATCTCATTCAAAAAGGCCCAAATGTGGGGATATGTCACTGTCTGGGAGTCTGGATATTCTGGGTTGCTGAAAGACACATTTTCCAGATTAGGAAAGAGTTTCATTTACTTTACCTTATGAAATAAACTTTAAAAGCCTTCTGTTTTGTTATCTCTAATTCCATGGGTAGGGTAAACACATCCAACAGCAATAATTTCAGTATACTCTTACAATGACCCTGTATGGCAGATGCATATGAACGTTTGTTCCAAGCTAGGGAACTCAGGGGTGGCCAGCCCTGAGATTTGTTTCTTACCTACGAAAAACATCTGAGCCCCTGGCCCTTCTCATGGAACACGGGCCATACCAGGGACTGAGGCCCCGAGTTTTGGGTTAAATGAAGGTTTCCAGGTGGAGGTTGTCTAGTGGGAAGGTTTTAAGTGAAAATGCTATATAAACTACATTGTTATTTGCAAGCGGTTGTGGTTTTCCTGCCCAGCCCACCACCACTGGACTCTCCCCTGTGTGTAAGATGCTAATAAAATCGTATGTCTCATTTGCTGGCTCTGAGTTTTTTGAACCTGGCAGCTTCCCTAATGAAGTTAATAGGGGTTCAGCACGGCACCATGTTGCTCAAAAATCTTGATAACAGCTTCCCAGATATATCCATTTCTAGACAGAGGATCCAAGGGTAGGGGGCAGAGATTATAATTTAATGAGTTACCTTTCTGCTTTACATAAAGGTCTCCTAGGAGTTGTAGCCAGGAAATAATTTCCCAGGATCCAACCTTCCCAGAATGGCTGACAGTGTTGAGCCTGTTCCCATATGATTTAAATGTGTGCTCTCCTAAGGCAGCACGAACCTGAGAGATCCTAAAACTCACTGGGACAATGAGACTAATGTGCAACACAACACAGAGACAATGCACAATATTCTTTCTGAGGTTTATGAGCTTTCCTAACTTCTTATAGTTATTTTGGATCTACAATGAGTATGCAGGAAAGATGGCCAATGGAGACTGCAATTAGATAGTGAGATGAGCCTGCTAACTGGGAAAGAGATAACTAAAAATGAATGTAGCTCAATCTTCTAGTCTTTGGTGATCCCCAAGTGCTGTGTCTTTATTAATAGTCTTATGTGAGATGAGTGGCCCTCATCCTCAGATGCACATTAGAAACTCCTGGGGAGCTATTAAAACTCCCATGTCCAGACTATACTGAGGCTAGTCACATGGGACTCTCTGGGTGTGGGATCTAGGTGCCAGCATGTTTTAAAACTCCCCAGGTGATTCCAATATGTAGCCAAGGCTGAAAACCACTGTGCTAAGCTGTGAATAAAAGTTTATTGATCTCAGACATCTCTCCACCTGCATTGCTCCCTCCCCTTCTACCACTATTTTTTTTTTTTAAATTCAGCAGTACTGACATGAAAAGAGCTAAGTTGTCCTTGTGGTTCAGACTGTGATACATGGAAGGACACTTTGTCTTAGTGAGTGAACGTGTTGCACTAGGAATCAGCAAACTATGGCTTGTGGACATATTTGGACTCACCAAACGTTTCTATATAGTCATGTGCTTAGAGTAGTTTTTACATTTTTTAAATAGTTGAAAAAAATCCAAAGAAGAAGAATATTTTGTGACACATGAACATTATATGAAATTGAAATTTCAGAGCCCATAAATAAAATTTGATTGCAATTCAGGCAGCCCATTCATTCATGTATTGTCTATACTTCTTCCATGTTCTGACAGTAAAGTTGAGTAGTTGAGACAGAGATCATATGGCCCACAAAGTCAAAAATATTATCTGTACCTTTACAAAAAAGGTTTGTTGATCTCTGCGTGTATGCCAGTTTGGGGGAAAAACTTTAAGCATGTTTTTCCTCTGCTCTCACAGTACTACAACAATCATCAATCATCACAGAAGACTTCTGTGAACAAAGGTGTGGGGTTTTTCCCCACACACCAAGCAGCAGACAACCAGCTGTGCGTCCTCTAATTAAATTCTGACACTATCTCTTAAAAGAGAGTGTCAGATCCCACAGGGTGAGGACTCAGTCCCCAAGACTGTCCTCCCCCAGACACCAGTCACAAGTCTGGGCTTT